TCACATTTAGTTTTATAGTTGATTGAGCTGATTTTTTACGGTTTTTTTAAAAAAATCTCGATTAACTTGAGAAGTCGGGTACAAGAATTCTCGAAACTCAAGAAAAAAAAGTCAGACACCCTAGCTCGTAATAAATGGCATTGTATAAAATTCAATATTGACGTATAAAATTTATTTATAAATAATAAAGGCTGGCTCCATTATACCTGTGTTCAAGTAGTTTTCACTAGAAGCTACATATGGTGCATTTTGGTAAGTTTCCAGTAGAAGCTGAATATGGTGTATTTTTGCGCCTTTCAATTGTTGCAAGCAAAATTAGGCAGTACTGCAATGACATTACAATTTAAATTCAACGTTTTAGCTTTCTCATATTCCTTTACATGTCACTACGTTTAAATAGGTTGACTTGGGACATTTTTTCGTGGTTTTTGTATTAGACCAGTCGTTTTTTTTTTCATTTATTTGTAAGTCAATGTTTTTAACTTAAACTTTAAATCCTTTTTTATGCATATTATATGTTTCATATTTAAAAGTAAGGAAATCACGTAATGTTATGGTTACTTTCAAACATGGAACCCATAATATACATATTAAGTATACATTCAAGTTCAAAGGCAAAAAATGGTATTTTGACTTACTACAACTTACGTGGCAGGTATCGATATACAAAAACAATGTGTCGAATTGACTACGAATAGAAATTTTATGACCTAAAAGATTCTAACGCCAATTTTTTTTTTTCATTTTAAACGCAAGTTTTTTTTTTGCGTACCTTGTTTTTATTATGAATAGAAACATCAGTTCAAATAATCTTTATGCTTCAAACTTTAACATATGACAAATAATAGAAAAGTAATCTTGTAGTCCCAAAAAATATCCTATACCAGTTCGTTGAAAAATCTTATTTACGATCGAAAAGTCGCGTAGTTGCAAAAACAAAAAAGAAGCATATTTGCTTTAACCACTGTGGCTTTACACCAACGATCTTCTCAAATTGCTTTAAGAAATACATAAGTATTGTATTTTAAATTAACTTGGGAGCCCTTATAAAATTATTATTGAGAAACTCCTGTAAAACTCCTCTCCAAATAACCTTACACCTAAACTGTCAAGGTAACCTTGTAATAGATTAGTTAAGTACGATTGGGATGTTCTGTGCTCACAAGTATGTATATGCTTCGAAGAAAAACATCTGATAGTTCAAATGTAGAATGTCACTGCGTAACCTATATCAAATATTAACTTATCTAAGCTGTTACGGTAAATTTTTAATTACAGTAGCGTAATACGCTAACAAAACAATCAACCATTTCCGTAAAATGCAAATAGCTACACGGAGTTTGGAATAATACAATGTTATTTTTACGTAAGTTTTGTTACATGGAAATTCAAATGACATCAATCTACAAATTTATTTGTGACAACAACAAGTTTAGTGGCAGTAGAGTAAGGAACTGTGACACAGAATTTTGGAAAAGTAAAAGTTCTGGTGAAATTACAGGCACATGGGACTTGTCAATTTAGATCAGATCTTTGCGATTTGAAGCTCAGAGTGGCACTGCAACTGCTATGGACACGCGTGTCGCTTACCACCAGGTGCACGACTTGTTCGTCTCGTCACTTAATATCATAAATTCGGAGCTATCGAATTTTTCCGTAATGGAGACAATAATTTTTCACACATTGTCGTTTTAAGAAGGCCATTAAACTCCGGTAGACCACTGAATTTATAAGAGCTACATTTTCTTAATCTCATGCTATGGTGAGCTTTATGAGGCACTTAAACGTGTTTTCATATGATCCCCTAAACCTCTTCCGATGCCAAGGAGCCAATAAAGATCATTTATTGAGATTACAACCGTATTGTCGACGTCTGTGCCACTCTTTTCAACGACTCTGATTATAAATCGAGTTCTTAGGTTTTTACACCTACCTATTGTGGGAAAATTAATTTCTTTTAAAATCTAAATTGCGTATATGTGTTTTTCAAAACAAGCCAACGTTTTTGGCTCTATAAAGGTCGCATGGTCACGGCTGACTCTTATTCGATAGAATACGTCAAGATTCATTTAGTGAGACTACAGTAGAACCTATTTATTCAAGCTTGTTTGTTTTTGGTGTCCTCACAGATATATTCGTATATCCAACCAAAGACGAATGACAAAACTATGGCACGTATAGACAGCTGCACGCTAATTTTAACATCTCGTACAGCGTTTCGGTTGTGCTGATTCAAACACTATATGTATAAAAAGCTTTAATTATTTATCTTTAATTTCGATTTGGTATGCAGACAGTACATAAGTCATTTGTTTCTTGAAATAAGTACCTCTAATCCATTATCATTAATTACACCTTTCTTACCACGGTAAGAGTTATTTTTATTTTCCTGATCTTTCGGAACGGTTACTGTTTAATATAACGTAGGATATAAACTTTTTTTTATACTTTAAAACCACAGTTATACACGTGCATTAGCTTGCACAGGTCATAGTGTCCTTCCCGTATAACCAAAAGGTTGATAAGAAAGGTCACTGAAAAAATAGATACGAGACTGCTTATATGTGTTTCTCCATACGACGAAACCTGTAATTAGTGATAAATATTTATATTCTCTCTTTTATGAAGACTGAGTAAAATGAAATTTGTAGGGTTGCCAGTTTTCATAGTTTTGCCGTTGCTGTCGATAGTTCTATCGACAGATTGTGAAAGAAGATAAAATTTTGCCAAAAATGACTGAATTGTGAATGTTACGACGTTCTAATGATTGCTAATTGCGTTATTGCCTTCTTTATTCTTATTTTGACAGTTTGCCTACTAGTATCGAGATCAATTTTTATTCATATACATTTTAATAAAAATAGCCGGATTTAATTATTTATATTGAATTAAAATGAAAACTTTAAAAAAATGTTTTTTGTTTGTATTTTTCATAAACATGGTTTTAAAAAATTGACAATTCAAAGAAAGTTGTGCTCAGTAATTTCGATGAATAATGGGTCGAGGATGGTTCAAATGAAACAAATTCGGCTATTTATTTTATTGCATAAGCGTGACCTGTAATCGATAGAATATTTATCGACTGAATATTAGCTGCTCGCAAGCGGGTAACACTTGCGCTATGAACTATCATTTTACTTATTTTACGTAAGTCTTGAAATCTATTTCTCTAATTCGCTAATTATGACATAGCAATTGTTGTAAATATATAGCTAGGCATAAACAATAAGAATATTATTGGTGGTATTATTGAAAAATCTATCGAAGGATGACTAGAACGCATTGTGATATTCTATTATACTGCTTACGGCCACCATCAAAATTAATGGCTTCGAGATGGTCACACACAACAATACTAACGCCAATACCTAACGTGACTAGCTAATTGTGGGTTTGAATCACACAAGCGAAGTCGTTGTAGACATTGCCGCGAAGTTATTTGGATACTGCATATAACCGCAGCGGGGTGTCACTTGTGTGATGTATTGATATTTTAGTAGCCATATATCCATTCTCTTTGCTCGTATTTCTAGGGAAGCTATAAAATATTTCTGGTTCACCCAAATCGATAGCACCAAGTAGTAAATGCTCGAATATGAAGGAACAAGTGGTACTGAATTTGTAGGCTCTCGTGTGACACATTGCTAGGTAAACATTTCATGTTAGGTTAGCTTAACTTCTGTAACATTTTGTTGTACATTACATGCACGTTATATAGATAATTGGAAATCTGTTTGTGTGAATAAACTGAATTGAGATACAAGACTTGTCTGTTGATAACGTCATAATCTCAGTACAGAGTACTAAAAAACTGACCTCAAAAGTTCATGGAAATCGGTTACCGGAAATGCGCGAAACCGGATTAATCCCATATTTTGCACCCTTAGAAGTGGCATATTCTCTTCAAATTTAAATGGGATCAATACTGAGGTACACTCTTTCCAACAAAATACGAATCATCTAAATCGGTTCTCAAATTTTAAAAGTTATCGCGTAACATACATACAAAAAAATATACAGTCGGATTTAGAATCTCCTCCTTTTTTGAAGCCAGTTAAAATGAGATTTAACTGTCAGCACACTATTGTAATCATTTAGTGATTTAAGTTAAAATCGAGTTTTAATTTTACTTCTATTTTTTTGACAACATCACATACTTGTGTTTTGGAAATCGGAAACTACGACGGTAACACAAACAGCAAGACCCGTGTGAACAGATCCTTGAAACACATGCCGCGGCTACGTGAGCTAAATCTAACTTAGCTTCCCTCGCGGTGTGCCTTGCGCTATAAATCGGTTTTCTATCGGATACATTTCGGGGAGTGTGCGCAGGACCTTTTCAATTTGGTTCCGCCCTCACCGTTCCTCCTTCGGTCGACTAGAAGGTCCGGAGGCGAATAGGCATTTTTTAGGCAAACGCGTCACATTGTCGCTTAACATCAGGTGAGATTGTTACCAAGCGTGTGTCTATTATATATTTAAAAAAAAGTATTATTTATACTACATAAAAGAAGGTTAGCTGGAAGAAATCCCTTTATGGCATAGGTTCGCCTTTGAACGCCAACGTTATAAATACTTTGTTAAAATTTGTAATTTGTGTTGTACTATAAAGTGTTTACATACATACATACATGAATAATAAAACAACAATGACCGAAATAAATTGTTTATTATTATATTAATGGCTAATACATTACTTTTGACCCTTACATTGGCTGCACGAACTGGCACGGGTAATGGTGTCTGATATCAATATTCTTGTTGCCAGTACCAGAAATTAGTTCTCTGAAATTACGCAACATGGCGAGACGTTTCATATCGAGTTACAAAAAAAGTTTATTTGATAGATTGACAGCAACAATTTTATGATTACCGCTGTATCTTGGGTCCCATACAATCGATTTACATACAATACTTAACCTCTAAAATGAACAGAAAGTATTATGAATATTTAAACAAGTAAACCTAAGACTGTGGTGTTGGTACATTATTAATATAAATATTTATATAGGTATTTATAATCTAAGTAGTAAATCTTTAACTGTACATTGTCTCCATCTCCAGGCCTAGAGCACATGCATAAGCGGCACATAGTGTACCGTGATCTGAAGCCGGCAAACATTCTACTCGACGAGCACGGCCACGTGCGGATATCCGACTTGGGGCTCGCATGCGACTTTTCCAAGAAGAAGCCCCACGCTAGCGTGTAAGTAATTCAACTAGATTTACTCGTCGTCAGCTTGTTAAATTAATTACATCCTTTTTTTACTTAGAAACGGATACACTGTTTAATCTGTGTCCGTGTCACATCGTGATGTTATGCAATGAAACCTTTTACTTCTTGTTTTTAACACATAATGTAAAATAAGTAAAATCCAGCGCTCTCAAAAGATACAAGAGTCGTTTTCAGATTACCTCCAAAAATGTGTCCCTTTCAATAACTTTTATGTTATTACATTAATGCTAAGCATTATTTATTTAATATGATTGCTTGCTTACTTAGTCTGTGTTACACATATAATTACTACTTTACTACGTCACAGTAATAAATAAAAATTTAAAAAGTGGGCAGTTTCTCATTCATGGGGGCCCGTTCTACGTCGCCTTAATTTTAAGAAAAGAAGAAAAAAAATTAAGCACTCGAGGAAATCGCAATATTTCCCGTCGAGGATAAACTCTAATAATTGCACGTCGAATACATACCGTAACTTTCCAATTTATCATAAACAAACATGTTTTCTTGGGAATACAAAATGTGTTTCAATTTTTCTTATCATTAGTGTCAATTTAACTAAAAGCCTCCTAATAACAAAAGTTCATACCGCATCATCTTCACCCTTCGCACACTTGAGAAGGGGCTCCTTTCGGATTGGAGTGTACACAGTGAAGTAACCTGTCTCCGTTTTGTGTGTGGTACAAATTTTTAGGTTTCTAGTTTACGATAGCTCTACTGTTGTCGTTGAGGAGGATTTTATTAGTACCTATATCGTTGCAGAAATATACAAGCTGATATTGTCAATACTCGTAATTTTTAGTTTTTTGAAGTTCCTAGAATTTATAAATACTTTTATTTCAAATCAGAATTTTACAAATTTAAATTAGCTACAAGTGGTGCGGCAAATTCTGGTATTGTCTTTTAGTCTTTTTGTGTTTCTTTTACAGCGGTACACACGGTTACATGGCACCAGAAGTCCTCTCAAAAGGCACAGGCTATGACTCCTCAGCAGATTGGTTCAGTTTCGGTTGCATGCTGTACAAGCTTCTTAAGGGGCACTCGCCATTCCGCCAGCATAAGACCAAGGATAAGCATGAGATCGACCGGATGACTCTTACTATGGTAAATGTCTTTTTGTGATAACAGTATAAGTTATTTGTATTTGTGTTTCCAGACGCTATGTTCGCTTTGTAAAGATGTGAAGAATTTTATATGAAGCCAGAGATGGAAGTAAAAGATCTGGCTTAAACAAAAGAAGTTGCCTTCCGTTATTGCGGTACAATACATAGAAATATATGTGTCCTACGTCTGAGCAAGCATCTCTTCTGAGGGGAATGTAAGGGCATAATTTGCTCAATGAGGAATAATTTCACATGACGGAGCAAGTAATAATTAAACATTATAACTACAAAAATCTTTGGGGAACTTGTCATGGGTTGAATCCGTAATACTTCTCAGTACATATCTCACCTCCGGTGAAACACTGACTTAAGATGAAGTGTGACCCAAAATAGATGTATTAACGTAGTTCAACCACACGGAAAATCGGGTTTTCGACGTTAAAAAATACAAATTCAACTTTTAAAAATTAACAATAAAAACAGAAGTTACTGGTAGTAACTATGAGACCCGAAACACGATTGACTAAACTTTGTTGAAAAAAAAAAAAAAAACACAAAGTTCTGCAAAATTTTTAATTATTTACTACGTTCATCGTCGGAATAATCTGTATCATTCGATTGTTATTAGGCATATTTCAATGAAATTTTCTCTCCCGTATTCCGTAATAAATACGTCAGGAGACTATGAGCTTATTTTACAGTTAGAGAGTAGATTTTGTTCCTAAAAGGCAAATGTTTAAATATCACGCAATAAATTTGCTCTGTTTTTGTGTATAAATTTCGCACCCATCATAGGATAAGTGGAGTTACTTGAAAAATGTTTATTGCTCTATTAGATACAGAAAAATATAACCCACATCCTCTCCAATTGACATAGCTCTATCAACAATATTTTATTTATATTATACAAGAATTGGAGAGGATGTGGTTTATATTTTTCTTTTAAGTTATTTTACATGTCTTTTGCAGTGCGTCCTATAATCACCGTTAGGTATTTTCAAATCCCCAAAGTCTATTCTAAACACATAATACCTTAACGATGAGATTTTAGCACTAGCTCTCTACTACGCCTGGGACAGCCAGATATTGATTTTCAGAAACGTCTTTTACATTTACAAAGCACACTGTGTCTCTTACTGCCAATTATACAGTCAACAGCCGGCTCAGTTTACACATTAAAGTTAAGTTCCACAGTGTAAAACTGAGAATGCCAGTGTGTAGTACTCAAAATGAAGAAATTTTGTACGTGTACCGGTTTGGAATAGACTAATGCCACTAGTACGCGAAACAGAGACAGAATCATGTGTGCAATAGACTTATGACGTATTCCAGAATGTGGAGTTGCCCGATTCGTTCAGCCCCAGCCTCAAGAGTCTGCTTGAGGGGTTACTGCAGAGAGATATTAATAAGCGACTCGGGTGCAAGGGCAGAGGGTAAGTTTTACTCAATTTATGTATTTGCAATGTTATGTTACGAAAATGGTTGTGAACTAAACTTTTGGGTAGGGACTCCTGCTGAATTACGCAACTAAATTGAGCTAGTGGCCAATAACAACACCTAATAATGCAACGCTCATGTTTGGCGTTTCTAATGTATATAATGTATAACACCTAATAATGTATAATATCTCTGACTACGTTGAGAAAAGCGCTAAACAAGCGTCAGCAGCACCATCGTCGCGGTGGCGCTGTCGTGATACACTTTACTCGGCGTCGTGGCGGCGTATTGGTATGAGCGCTGTGCGCGCTGGTGCTGATGCGCTACACGCCTAATGTACTAAATGTAATTAGAATAGAATAAACATTTATTACAACAATTACATTTATTATAATAATTGAATGCTTCAGGTTCAAGCAAGTATTGTATGAATTGTCAGTTTTGTATAAAAATCATATATAATATATAGCGCTTAATTTGAAGGCAATCGCAATATTGTTTGTATCTGAATCACTACACATAATAATGTAAATTTTGATGTTCACGCGGCCTTACGAGGCTAACTTTTCAAAATCTAGCGTGATTCAAAGGCGCATTTTGCACTAGATTTGTTCCTAGCCTAAGACTTAGGGACACATTTATTTACATACACATAATGTCATTCACGTAATGTCATTCACGTAATGTCATTCAGTAGTGTATAGGTAAACGTAAATGGCCCAATGAAAGTTGCTTGATTGTCCAGGTAGGGATGGTAACAAGGAGACCTTGTAAAAAGGTGAAATATAATTCTAGGGTTAGGAGACTTGACACAATAAGTAGAAAAAGCTTAATTTTTAACCCGTTCATGGACAGTACTGAAATACCACTAATACAACTCAAAATATTTCATTACTTTTGCCGTAGAGTGCTTATATTGGTTCAATATAAAATGTTCACTGTAAATCATTGAATTTTGTCAATACGTTGATGATCTTTGGAGAAGCAGTAGGCGGCAACTACACAGAAAGCACTTGGAAACCTGGGATTCACATAGCGAAACGGGGTACATTACGGTAAACACCGTACTGTCCATGAACGAGTTAATATACAATCCAAGAAGTTTGTTGTTGTGTTGTTTATTAAGTATCGGAGGATGTGAAAAGAATGATAAGATTGAAAAAGACGCTACTAGAATTTGAGTTGAAAGAAATATGACTTACGTGCTTTAGTCACTTTTTTTTTAATTTTAAATTTAAAACTGTTTATTACAAATATTACTTGATGTATTATTTCAAAAAATTATGTTGGTTTTTGACGAAATTTCGAAGAGAAAACAACGTCCTATCGACAGATTGATGATGATAATTTTACTCTTCCAGTCTTGTTAATGTTAAAAGTTCTTAAATTGACCACCCATTGCCTGTGTAGTGCGGACGAAGTAAAGGAGCATGTGTTCTTCGCGGGCATCGACTGGCAGCAAGTGTATCATCAGAAATATACACCCCCGCTTATCCCGCCACGCGGCGAGGTCAACGCCGCGGACGCCTTCGACATTGGCAGCTTTGATGAGGAGGACACTAAAGGCATTAAGGTTAGTAATTCTGACGTAAGTTTTTGTTTATCATTATCGATTACTATTAGAACTTCACAATTCTTATTCCACTCGTATTCAGTTTCAGATGATACCTCATAGTTTTTTATTAAAAATTATCCATCCATCTCACTTGACGTCATGACTGTATTATAAATGTGAAAGCGAAACGTTTCGTGCGAAAGCTTGAAATATCCACAACATAGGGGTGAAGTCCCCCGACGATGGAAAGGGGAAGGTGGAATTAAATAGTACAATCGCATAATCGCATTGTTGCGTGGTAACATCAGCAGTCTTTCTTTTTTCTGTGCAGTTGCTGTACCTATCTTGAACAAAACAAAAACAAACACCACAATATTAATTGCAGTATTTCGTTCCTTTAGACTACTTTAGAGAATTAAGCATTGAATTTTGTTGACATTGCCTTTAATTTAAATTACTTACTTCCAGCTAACTGAAGCAGATCAAATGCAATACAAGGACTTCCCTTTGGTGATATCGGAGCGCTGGCAGGCTGAAGTCGCAGAGACCGTGTTCGAAACAATCAATCAGGAGGCGGACAAAATGGAGCAGAAAAGGAAGGCCAAGCAGAAGCAGAAGTTCGACGCAGACGAGAAAGGTGTGAAATTGTTTAACACGCACATTGGTTCAATCAAACTCATTATACCACATCGAATATATAACCAGAAATAGAGACGAAATGTCATTTAATTTGTTTGAAAACTATTCTGCCAAATCATTAAGGTGACAACTGCGTTCTGATTGGCCAGGCTGAATTCGAAACAATTGACGGGTGTCGTCAATTGTTTCACTTCAAAACGACCAGATTAACTTGAGCTTTGTTATAATGGACAAATATGGAAAAATTACATATTTTTTAATATTTAATTATCGACGAAATGTGATTCCGTTTGTCTTGTAATTAGATGTTTTGCTGTTTTTCCCACACCACCGAATGGAACAGCCTTCCATAGTTAGAGATATTATATTTATTACAATAAATACAGATTATTTTTGGAACTTACGGAGACGTACACGCAGGTCATCTGTTGGCGCTGTACGTTCTCTGGTTGTACTATTTCAGCTTTCTAATTTGTGATTTCAGCGCAAAGATAGTAGATATTTAAAAGTGATATAAGGCCCATTTGTCTGATGAAGTGCCAGGGATGGATGGCCCATATTTCGTCTCTATATGAGGTTTATATACTCGATGTTATACTAAAATTATGAATGTTAAAGCATTGATGTTTATTTCTATTTCTGACTCAAGCACGTGTCGAGGTTAGGACGCCTATTATTTAGAAAATTGTGTATATAAAATCTATTTATTTAATAGTGGAGTAAATGTATGTTTCTCACTTAAAATCGGCATATTCAGGACTAATTCAGACATTTAAACATTGAATTCCGACCAGTTTTACATAGACATGCGACGTGTACGTACATGGTACTTTATTTTTTGTATGCGGTTGTTTTATCTCATCTAAGATATTTACAGATAACACGTATTAATATAATTACAGAGTCAGACTGCATCCTGCACGGTTATATCAAAAAACTTGGCGGCCCATTTGCAAGCGCGTGGCAGACACGCTATGCTAAGCTTTACCCGAACCGACTTGAGCTGCATCTTGAGAACAGTGCCAAGCCTGAGATGATCCTTCTTGACACGGTGGAAGATGTGTCCTCCGATCTCGTCTCCGTCAAGGGTGAACAGTGCATCGTACTGCGAACCAGAAACGATACTAAGATTGTGCTTACCAACACGGTAATTTGCCAATGATTTTGCGAAAATCCATGTTATTAAAAATGAAAGTATTATATAATTATATGCTACTGAGTAGCAAAGTAACTTACTTTTATTTTCATTATGTACTTTTTTAATATATGGAAAGTGTAGTAGAAAAACACAAACAATTATGGTGCCTATTATTTTTCTTTTTTTTTATTATATCGAGTGACGGGACAAGCAAGTCCTCAGAGTTTCAAATCGCATAGACCTGTGGGGCACTGTCTTTGCGCCTAATTTGACAAGTCCCATGTGCCTATAGCCTTCAAAACAGGAGTGCTCGTATTACTATTTTTGGTTTGCACCTGTCAATTTCTATTCTAAATTTTTATTTTGTTTCATTACATTTTCTTATATTGTATTTGCAGTGCCCTATCCTATTATTATATGGGTCATGTCACTACACTCTAGTCGTAACACATTTGTAACACCTGACTATGTCATAGGCGGCAGAAATCGGTACGAGGGTAGTACTTCCCAGGACGAACTCTACTGCTACTAAAGTATAATTCACGTGTATTTCCAGGACGAAATCGGGCTAAAGGAGTGGGCGACCTCGCTGCGGTCGGCGCACAAGTGCTCGCAGGAGCTGCTGGCGTCGATGGCGAAGAAGGCGGGCAAGATCTATGGCACAGACGGCGCCAAAGAACTGGGGTTGGCGCGGCCGCCGCCGCCGCAGGCCTCGCCGGCGCTGGCGCGCGCGCCCAACGGGAGCAACTAGCACGAACTTGCGCCCAACAAGGGCGCCAAGATGTTCCGCCGCTCCAAGAGCGCCGCGCAGCTTATCAAGTGAAGTGCGCAGTGCCGTGCGGAACGTGACTCAGTGCCGAGTACCGAGGGTCGAGTGTCGAATGTCGAGCGGCGTGCTCGAGTAGTGCTAGTGTCTCGTGTCCCCGTAGCCGGGCTGGACCGCTCGCGAGTCTCGATTGTGATAGATATTACGTGCTACTACAATACCGCGTCCCTGCGCTCGGGCGCTCGCAGCGCCAAGGACCATAGTGAGTTTAGGACTGCCAATTATTACTAAATGAATGCTGTTCGCATTTTATTGTTGTACGAATTAATGTGATAGGACCCGATCAAACGTAATAAAATGTATGATAATATTTCGTTTACCTACAGTGATTTTCGATTGTGGATAATAATAAACTTTTGTAATCATTTGCACCGATTGAATTTTGTAATTATTAATGTAACATTCTGGATGTTGTATTTAACTTTATAGTAGGTATTGTAAAAATTTAATAACTTATAAATCGAGTAGATAAGTATAGCGATTACTTATGTGTTTTGTGCAATAGGTCAAAAAATAATAAATTTAAAAATGCAAGTAATGGTCGAGTCAAATAATGAAATATTAGTCTTGAAAATTTTGCGCACAATGTTCGTTGTGCGTTTAATTATAGAAGCTTCGACTTGTCGATTTGTATCGTAATTAGAAATTCTAGCACTTCGTTTAAATTTCCGACTATTGCACTCGTAACTCTTTATGTTAGCATTGTATCAGATGGCTCTCTGTGCAATTAATTTATCGATTGACAGTTCCTGTAATGAACTAACACTAGGAACTACATATTTATTTATTGAATGAATTAAATGGTACTTAAGCATACACTACTCAATTTTGTGTTCGGAACCAACTATTAAGTTTCAACATTGTCTATAATATATAAAACCCATGTAAGTAGATCCTTGTAATATTTAGAGGCAATACTTTTCTAACAAACATTTATGTGTGGTGATCAGTAACAATAGTCGTATATGCAATATTTAGAAAAATTTTAAAAGCATGTTCAATATTCATGAATTTATGTGGGAATTTATTTTAAAAACTTAGTATTTATTCCACTGAGAATTTTATTATGGCCTGGCCAAAATGACATTTTGTACGTTGTGTATGTTTTATAATAGCAATGCAAGGTTTCTTTCGTGTTGTTGTCTGATGCAGATTTAGTTTCCTACTGCTCTTTGACCATGGCATATATTAGAATTAATTTTATAAATATTAATGTACAAAGTAATACAATGGAATCTAAGCAATACAAGTAGTTATAATAAATAGATCACATAGCAACTTTTATTATTTACTATATCTAGGAATCATTTATCATGTAGAAATTTAATGGAGGACCTTCTGTATATATTAGCTTAATGCAAATAATATAGGTGAATTTATAATAAGATTATAATTGATATTGCTTTGCTAGTAATTTCTTTTTCATCTGATGTGTAATGGATGTAGGGTAAGCATAATAATTATGGACAATTAAATATGTATTACTATTTAATTATTGTTTTGTAAATGATGTGTATAGTTAGTAAATCAAAATTAGGCGAAAAGATCGATTCAAGATGCGGTAAATTTTGCATAGGTACCTTACATTGTATACATTTCATGTATTTAGTTGAATATATTGATTATAAAGTTTTTCCTCATTGTAAGGGTGAGACTACACTTGTTATCACATATCAGAACCGTATCCATACGGAACATGTGTTTCGTGTACCGTTAGGCGTACCGTTTGAACGCTAGATGTGCGTGCCGACAGGTCCAACCCTTAAATTATCTAGACGATTTTATAATTTGATAGATATTAGAAAAAAAACCTACAAACCTTTTTCTGTAATAGCAATGTTCGGTTTGGAGAATGCTTGATGTTCACACAAAATATACTATAAAAATTATATTAGGTAACTTTTGGTTTACTAATTACGTACACAATGTAATACAAATAATCATTAATCAGTTAATCTAAAGAGAAAAAGAAACCTAGATGCTAGTCAATTGAATTACTACAATAAAAAATTGATTTACTGACAGAAGAAAATGTGTGTAGTAAATATATAACAGTGAGCAGTATTATAGGTTAGGTGTTATTTCTTGATGAAGTTTATCTTATGTGATATATTTTAATTTAAATCTGTTATACAACTCTGCAACTTTGTGACCAAATATTGTAGTTGTGTAAACAGGATGCCACGTATATGGCACAACATCAGGGTTCGAAATGGTCATGATATTTTATTTTCTATGATAATTTGCCTATTTATATCTGGTATCCCTGCTGATTCCTAGTTACGTCTCTTTAATTTTTGACTAAAAATTACAAACAGTGAGAAAACTAAATAAACGCGAAGACAATATGCGACCTTTTCTTAAGATTGACGTTTGACTTTATGATACGTCTCTGATACAAACACAAGGTACGACATTGCTAATGGTAGCATTTTGTTGTTTCAATAAATTTTATAAATATCAAGGTACTTATATCTATACATTTTTAATTCGAACCCTGTGCATCATATTGACCTAAAGTTGTCACTAATTATGATCTACATATAATTTAATTTTTACGGTGCATTTTGTAATTATTTAGACGTTTCTCTATTGGTATTACATTAACAAGGTATTGCGGTTGCGACTATCATACCCAGAAGTCGAAATTGTATATACACTAGAGTGGATAACATCTTCCTCTGAAATCACGGAATTATTGTATTGTATATTGTTCTGTATTTTTGACGTGTAAACAGTTACTAAAGTAGAGGATTTAATTGTAAGTAATTTTTTTTGCTTTTTATTTTTAATCATTCTGGGATTTTAGAGGGAGGTATTGTCCACTTTATATATTACTGCCCATTGCGATCTCTGGTCCTAATACAAGAATAACTTTAAAAAGTGCATGATATGATATTAAACATGCAATAGGGGCCCATGTAATATCCTGTCCAAGAGGGTACAAACTATTCCATGTACAGAGGTGTTAAGCTTTTCGAATCAAGCTGAGAATAATTTAATTATGTTGTCTTTCAATCGTATTTGGTAGATACTTATCTGGTAGGTTTTTAAAAAGCTGCCATTTTTGTAATGGTGAAATATAACAAACCCATAGCATATTGAATATTCTCCAAACTCTTCAAAGACATTGATAGATCCCAATTGGCATTTGAGCACCATGGCGAACAATGACCCGACAGTCATTTGGAGAATCATTCTCTTTAGCGAAACGTAAATACATTGACACACATTGTGTAATTATGACTGCCATTGTGTAAATTGAGTCTTGTTTCACATGTCTATCAACTCTACGTCCTACTAGTGAGCACAAGAGTACTTTTAGGAGACGGTTTAAGTCATAGTAGATCATGGCTCGTTAGGGGTTGAGAAATTTATTTATTTTTATGTTAATTATGTAAGGTCAAAGATCGCCTGATGACGATGGTTTTTTTTTTCTGTCAACCAATTTTGACGTAGCACTACACTGTTTCTATTAATTGATTGTGATGGCTATCAGCGCAACTGTGGTACATTTTTTTTTCACAATATTAATTTCAATGATGCTATGACACCACACATCACTATTGTCACCTTGACGTCGTCTGCGCAGGACCGTGGCAGTCGCATAGTCACACGGTCTGCGGCAGAGTTAATTGGTTCTGAAGATGGTTTTTCGTTCATAGTGTCTTCGTGTTCTGACATCATTTAATTTTTTGTTTACGTAATTGTTTGATCATGTCGGGGTCACCAATATGGCGGGTATTATGCCATACATATATTAATAATGCCGGATTGGATGAATAAGATATTTATTGTAGAGTTATTCACAATGTGAACTGTTCGCAGACAGATGGAAGACTAGCAATAAAAAGTGAATAAATGGTCAAGGGGACAATAGGGATTTGCGCTGCTCATAGTGCGGTGCCACAATACCAAAATACATAATTATTTTGTATTTAAATGCTATTTAAATATATAAAAAAATTAATAATTCAATTTTTTTTATACATGAAAAGCAACCTAATATAAATAAATTGTGTTATGTATTAATGATACTAAATCATTTAAAGTAAAATTAAGGAAGCAAATGTGTGTTTGTTCAAAGAGTTTTTTCGCTAAACAATATGCTGCGCTTTTTTTACGATGTACTCGTATTTTGTTCGCCGTTAAAAGCATCAACTAGACTTAAAAATAATTTAATAGACAGGGTATATTCTCAGCATGCTTTATGTAGTATATATATTTACTATAAATCTCTAGAAACGTTTTAATTTTCTCGTAAAATTGAGCCTAATTGAATAGTGTTCGAAATTTAACAACCAAAATGCCAAAGTGACTAAAATTCTTAACATTCCGATTTGCCAAACTAGTTAATAACGTGTAACAAAGTGCATTTAAGCAAATTGATAAACCTAGTTGTCCGCATTATACAGGTGACTTTAATCGTTTATTGTAAATTTCGCACCATTGATATAAGACTAAATTTGCAATGTTACTTTGCATGCCATGCAGGTGTGGCCAAACTTTATTGCGTTTCTTATTTGTCATGTCATTATTATGATGGATTTTACCAGCTACTTAACGGATTTGATTTATAGGAGAATTGGAGATAACTTTTTGTGATTTTTATGATTTTGTGTAAAGTTTTCAACATTTTTCATTAAGTTTTTTTATGTCGCTAAATAAATGTCAACCTTCATAATTCGGCTTACTAGATTTTTCATGGACCACCATTTTATACAACACCTACAATAACCGACTCCAAAAAGAAGGTTCTTTTAATTGAATGAGGCGTAAAGACTTAAACCGAAACAAACTCCTGCGTTAATTTATAATATATCTTCCTTCCGAGCGTTAGCATACTTGTATACTTCGCATCATGCTATTAATAATAATTAGATCTGCATCAGACCATGTTATATACCTCTGTTAGAAAATATTTTTATTGTGAACCTACATTATGTGTAGTAAATTGTTTATTTAATCAATTTGCCGTTTTATTTGTAACGTGGAATAATTTAAATTAATGATTGTACTAGTTCTATATTAATTACAAAAATTACAATAAATCGATATATTTCAAGATACGTTACTTTTGGCACTTTGTCTATACAAAATGCGAAATAGTGTGGGATGCCGATGATATCCGTTGGTCCATGTCGATGGATCGTTATTTTGGCTGTAGGTATGGAAACTACGCTTACGTTCGGTGTGTGGAATTCATTATTTTTATTTATAATCCACTGTGATTAACAATGGAATACTATCGGTAACCCTTTTAGAAATTACAGGAAATATTTATCGAATTTTTACCAAAATCGTGGAGTCTTTTTTATGATACTAAGTGACTGGAAGAATAAGTCGTGCGCCTAGTGGTAATCGACACGCCTAGTAGTGACGTGCTATCTATGGATACGTGCAGAGGTGAAGGGCGACATGTTTTACACAGCTTAGCGAGATCGTTGGGTTAGTTTAATTAGCTCGTTTAGCCTAGTTCGCGGTATGAACCGAAGTATGAATAGATGCCCCGGCTACGTGAGCTAAGTTAGCGTAGTTTCTTTCACGGGCCTACGCTTCACCATTCAAAACCGGAACGAAGTAATGCTCACATTGCTGCTAGGTTATAGATATATCGACCCCTCCTACGTAAAGTATCGTATGTCGAAATTGCCAAGTTTACGGCGTTTTAAACTTCCGAATTCACTGAAATAAGCATAATACGTGATTTTAGCATTTCTCAGTTTTATTCGGCAAAGCTCGTTATCGGTTAGATGATCACTCTATATGAGTAACGTGTGAATGCAGAATTTTAAAACGCTCCTCTGTAAAGTTGGCAATTTCGACATACGATCCTTTACGTAAGAGGGGTCGATATGTAAAGTGGCAGTAGGTACCTACTTATGACTTCGCTGGACGAACTCTTTCACAAGGAGCTCTACTGCTACTAACATTATGATATCAATACTTTTTATTATGATATCAAGTGACGCGACGAAGAAGTTTGGTGGTAAGTGATACTCCTATCCATAAGGCTTAATTTATATTGCGGCGGAACGGAATGGAAACGAATTTTTGTAACGATATTGTACATAGCGTAATGAACTTTATGGTCAATTGTGTAACGTACAAAGTAGATACGAGCCTAAAACCACGTTACGCGCTTCCGCGGAATCCTCGCGCATGCTCGAGAATGCTGGTGCATTCGCGAGAATTCCGCAGATGCCATCGGCGACGCCTGGTGAACCGCGGGAAGTGGCGCGAAGTTAGGCGCAGTGTGACATCAAACGTAGTATTTACTACAGCCCCAAAGGGCGGGCGCTGGAATGTCTAACAGTTGCAGTGTCACTCAAAATAATGAACTATGTCAATTGTGTGACGTACAAACTAGATACGAGCTAAAAAAACACGCATGGGAAATGTCGCATATAGAGCTTGGAGGACGGAAATGGTTTCCATAGTCTTAAGGTAGGGAGTCGTCTACAAAATATATATGATACTCATCAATGATGATACTACCTTGTCATATAATTGCAAAGATCTTATGAAGCACTGCCACTGAACCTATTGGCCCTGATACAAAGTTGACAAGTCCCATGTGCCTGTAGTTTTACCAGCACCCTTGAAAACTGATACGCAGTTAAGCGCACATTGCTACTTGGCGGCAGAAATAGGTGCCAATACTTCCATGGATGAACTTTTTCAAGAGGAGCTCTACTGTTTCCAAATCTACTAGAAATAATCGAAATCATAATTTCGTCATTCACGTAAAAAACAAAAATTTAATAAATCCCCTTTGATTTACAAAAAGATCATCGACATGATCTAAGTCAATTAACATGTCAGCCTTTCGGACTTTCCTTAGAGGATTGAAAAAAATAAAAGAAGGACTTTCAGATTTCGTGGCGCAAATACCGACTTGACAAAATAGGTATCGGATTGTTATGAACTTGAACGTGAATAATTCCGCAACATGACAAGGGTCAGAAATCATTTTTTGAACTCTGTAAGGTATGTAGGTACCTACCTACTACTGAGACATACAAAAACTCGTAGAATTTTAATTAACCACATTTCCTCGCGACTTTATTCCCCTGCACTAAGACAACTTTTTTTACAATAAGACTTACTTAAGTCTAACTTAAGTAAAAAGGTAGGTTTTCCTGTGTTTTATATCCTAACTAAACATCACCAAGATTTCTAAAAACTGTCATTAAAATCAAAATAAGCCGTAGACCCATGTAGACCTTAGACTATTTTATTTTTTACCATCTTCTAAGCCATAGACGGAGAAAACTTAGCCCTTTTCAATCCGGACACTGGCAGATTTGTCCTCAGTGGGACAGCAGCCAAAACAACAAAAAAAAAAGAAAAGATGGATGTCCTATAACGTTCACACCTCAAAATTCTTAATCCGCATATGTACATCCAACAATTCTAATTCAATAAGTCTGTAATGAAATTCGTAAATCAACATGTAAATATTTGACATGAACAAAGAAACTTGATAAAAATGGAAACGTTTTGGAATCCCGTGATATATTTTTCGTCTCTTCTAGTATGTATGTGCCTTGGAAATGTATACAAAAGGATCAATAGTACGGAAACGAAGCGTAATTATGGTACAGGCGTCGGCTTATTGGTAGTGTGCCTCATTTGTGGATCACACATTCTGCATACTATATTCCTGGTATTGGGGAATGCTATCGTAATAAGATGCTGCGATAAAAGGTTGGCTTACACTCCTTGATGAATGCTATTTTAATATGTAATTACAATATCTGTATTTCTGTATTAGCGTGTGCATTTCTCCCGTAGTGATATAAATAGTGGCCTAAAATCTATCACATATTTCAGTTATGTCCATCGTATAAGTTTACTGTATACTTTTTTTCTACTCCTATACTTTCAATTGAATGTAAAAGAATCTGTATATGAACTTTGGATTTTCCAAGTTCTAACATTGAGAATGGTCGGCATGGCATTCGAGGTGAATTTGGCGTACAAATCGAAAGTAGCAAAGGAGGCATTGAAAAAAGCAATACCCGAACCCACCGAAATGAAAATATCAGTAAATCCATCAAGGGAATCTTCTATTTCTGTTACTCCAGTAGAAACGGCCACAAAAAAGGCGCGTGAAAGCCTTAGCACAAAGGCGGGATTAAAAGTACCATCAGATACAAATAAAGAGGAGTCGGCAACGGAATCCCCAAGTGCTGTTCAAAGAAATGCACCTGTTGCGAGGTCAGCTAATGACCGGTTGTCCCCGGGAAATGTCTTAAGTCAAGCTGACAAGACAGCCAGGAGGTTCTCTGAGAGTGTAGCAGCAGCAGATAAGGCTGTCAAATCATTAAATGAAAGGATGTCGATTACGCCTGAAAATCGAAAGGAAATCGCAAATGTGCAAAATAACGATATTGCTGTATCCAAAATTCCATTGACGAACTCTGTGCTGGAATTGGATGTTATGTATAAAGATCCTACTGCGGTTGATATAATTTCTTATGCGTATTTCTTTATTGGTTTACATAAAGGTAAAGGGCTCACATAATTTACACTTTTACATTTTCATTTTTTAGTTGCAACTCCTTGTGAAAGAGTTCGTCCAGGGAAGTACTGCTACCTAGGGTAGAGGTGCTGGTAAACTTACAGGGACTTTTTAAGTTATGTCTCAGAGTGACGGGCGCAGTGGCAGTGCCTCTTAGACCTTTGAGATTTAATTGGCTCTAAGTGGCACTGGAACTATTATGGACTGGTGTGTTGCTTACCACCAGGCGTAAAACTTGTTTGTCCCATCACTTAGTATCATAAAAAAACTTACTGAAGTATGTATTCTACAAAATGTACTCGTAGATAACAAGGGAAAATGCTGGTCAGGTGTACATAGACTATATTAGAACTACTGGGAACGAAGGTACAATGGCAACGTTAGCGCTAGTATTGATTTGATACATGTTTATTGTGTTAGAAGAGAAAACTATTTAGAACGTAGCCACACGAATGGCAATTTATAACGTAACTGCTATATAACAATTGAATTGGTTTTGCTAGTGGGTATTGCGACTGATACTTATTGTACGCTGGCTACACTCCAAGCGTACTAGTACTTGGCAATTGTCCACACTTCTCAAGTTGCGGCTTGTGGGACATTTTACATTACAAGGTTACTTACTGCTTAATTTTTTTTATCAAAATTAGGTTCAACGAACATTTCAAGTGCGTGTATATTTTCAGGCCCCTACTACAGGTGGAAAATTTTCGATGACCACTTCTACAACTCCTTTGGGGTACTTGGGGACTGCCGCATTATAACAGAGCATAAACTGAAGAAAGCCATAATATGTGGCTGCGCCTATATATTACTACGAATTAAATATGATCCCAACGTAAGGAAACTCCTTTCCATAGTTGTTTAGGTAGATACTGTGAGCGCCCAGTTACACGAGAAGAAAGTTTTCGCGCGGCCGCCCACTTACCACGCCTTCATGCACATTAATGGCGAATCTGAATTCTATTATGCAACAACATTTAAATTCCGCTCAATAAAATTACCGCGCCGCCGGCGCGCGGTCGTCGCGCGGGTAGTCGCGTAGACCAAATTCAAGCCAGGGTAGCCCGCGTGCCCGGGACGCTCATTTAAATTAAAACGTACAAGTTAAACAAATAGAGCGTATTTTGTCGTGACAGTTAGACGCACGCGGTCGCTGCGCGGCGGCAACGCGGACTTCGCTCTTCGAACGCGATGAAATTCGTATAGAATAAATGCGCCCTAAGGCTTAACTCCCACTGGTGCGGAGTTGAAGCGTCGCGACGTGTCATGCTTTTCGCCTATAGTATATTCATCTCTATTTTTCCATTATTAAAGTACAAATTTGTGTTATACAAATATGGAATCGAGCGTCGACGCTTGGTAGTAGTCGAGCGGCTTTGTGCGTCGACGCGCGTCGCCGCACGGTCCTTGGGCGCAGTGAATCGTCAGTCGCCGACCACACTGTGATCCCAGGCGGTGTAGTTAAAAAAACAGGACGCGACGCGACGCTTCGACTCTGCGACAGTGTGAGTTCAGCCTGAGGGGTTTAGTGACTGGTTGAGTTACCGGGAAAGGGTCATTGCTAAGATGTATCTGATCGGACTTAAAAAGTAAGTAAGTAGATGTCTGGCACATGCAAGATGTTGCAGCCTTCAACACGTTTCAAAATTGTTCTATTTACCATGAGGAGCCCACATTTTATCTGCATCTTCCCCCGAGTAGAATACTGTCCCCTCGTAAACTCCTCCCAAGAGAGGAGCCTCAAAACTCGTAAACGACCGCTTATAACAAGCATGCATCAACCTCAGACTAAAGAGGAACAAATCAAACCCCGTACGGTGTAACATAAATACCTATGTTAAACCAACTATATAAAATTGTTTTATTTCAATTTGTGATCTCTATTTTCAGATATACTTTCAATCACAGTTTTATGAATTGTACGACACTGACTTTAGATATTTATATTCTGTGCCACATCTAATAATGTATTTCCTGAAACATCAGATAGTCATGTTACTTTGCACATCGGTGTGTACCGAGACTGGATTTGGTGTGTACCCTGCTAAAACGCAACCTGTACCAGGCCATGGGCCCACTATGAGCCTAGGATTGCTGAAAATGGCGTAAGTTAGATAATTTAAAGCAGACTTAAGAACGGTGTTGTAAATTTTCAATAAGTCCACTACTGAAGTAGAGTTATTGCTGATACAGATTTTTAGACATCAGCAGATGCTGATACAAATACTGATTTTACGTATTTAAAAAAATGCGAAAGAAGTGTATTCTGACCTAATATACCCACTTGTAAAAGCTTTCTATTTTCTTTGATATTGTAATACAATATAATTTCAATGATTTTGTGACATTTATTAAGAAGCGATCAATCTGCATGAAAACAATCAATTTGCCTAACTTAATCCTTCTAGAATTATATGAATGTTATTTTATGAATTTTAAAAATAACAGCTGAGCTGTTTTTTTCGGTTTACAGTCTGTTTCTGGAAGGTTTGTAAAATATTTCAGCGTGTCTTTCGACTCGAACATCCACAATCAATATCAGCATAGATTAATGCGGATGATAATATTGTGGATGCGGATATTATAATTAATTCATTTAATTATTTATTCTACGAAAACACATTTAGTAAGAAGGAAAACACAAACAAATGGTACTGCTTATTTCTAACAGAAATTTCTTCCTGCTGACCTAAATACAGGAGATAATAATTACAATAACGGATTCACGTGCACGACAAAACAAAAATTATGAATAAAAAAACCATATCAAAAATTAAATTATTAAAACTGTATAAATACTTAGATAAATACATATTTCGTAATATAATTACCTATAAAATGGATGGAACAGTATAATAGTGCTCCTTACCTCTCATTTTGAAAATAATTAATTTAGGCAGATTATCCGCGGAAACTGATGCTGATATTTGCAACAACCCTGGTCTGAAGTGAGGCACTATAGTTACAGTTAAAATACATGAAATAAATAAATAAGTCGAGATCCCCTATAAAATGCCAAAAGATGGTAAGACATTTTTTTGCAATTCTCGGTGCATTTAATATTTTTCGGTATTTAATCAATCCGATTTTTCGGGTTTTTAAATTGGTCCCCATCAGTCCCCATTTACCTATTACGTATAATGTTGTTCACTGTTTTTAACTACCTGTATAATTTTACTTTTATTGGTTAGTTTTAACGCTGAGATCATTTTAATGCAAACTGTAAGTGTACTGCTTTTCTGGTCCTTGTGCTTATCAATATAAGCACTAGGGCAATAAATCAATATTCAATCAATATAAAATGCTCCATGTCTGCAAAACATTGAATTTTGTCAAAAAAGAAAGGACGTTCTTGATACTTCTCTATGGAGATGTATAAGGCGGCAACTACACAGAAAGCAGTTGGAAATCTCAAAGTAAAGCCCGCAGTCGGTTTTTTTAAATCCATATAGCGAAACGGGGTACCCCGTCACATCTATATTTAATTTATTCGTTATAGTAATATTTAACTTTATTGTTATTATTATTAGGCATCATATTGTATTCTGGATTGATAGACCCATAGAAAATGATTTATTAAGAGGGAGCATGCCAAAAAAGTTTTGACGTTGGCTCCGCCCAAATTTGTGAAACAAATATATGCCTGAAGTTCGCGTGACATGCGACAGGAGATGTTGAATTTTGAGCATTAAAAGTACCAAATTCGTTTTAGCGGAATAACTCTGAAACTAAAGGGATTAAAAAAAAAATCCGTAGTAACAGTTGTCGATCATGCATAAATACAATTAATTATCTAATTTTTGTCCTAATAACCTGTAGCATTTCGAGGATAAATCGAAAAAATGTGAAAATTAGAGGTCATTTCGTGATTTTTATCTATCGAGGAAACTTTATTGTTTTATGTTTCTGATTAATGTCTATGCTTGAATATATCGTGTTCATTGTATTTACCATACAATATTTTATTTTTAACTTTAAAGTGGATATACCCCTCTAAAATCGAATCGAAGATTAGGAATTTTTCCTCTGCTCCCTCTTAAGTAATCTAAGTAGGTAGGTGCGTTGTTTACTGCCAAACTGAAGCATCATAGAGCTTAAATTTTAGAAAACACTTTTGGCTAACTTAGCCCGTCGTACATAAAATATAGTGTTATATTTTGGCTCCTTGACAGTTCAACAACTGCTGAAGTAGCAATGGAACAGGAGTATAACTTTTCCATGCTGAAATGTTTCGAAAATGAAAAGCTTTTCCTCGGTCCCACAATGGCTGACACGATGCAGGCGTGGGACATGCCAACCAGATATTGGTTTACAGCATACCCGTATAAAAACTTCATGAAATCAAACAAGGAATTAAGGTAAACAAGGAACTAACGTTGACAGTTAGGTATTCTAAAACTTAAAAATATCTCAACACGAAGAAAAATTCCTTCGATCCGACTGGATACGAACCAGCGACCTCGCAATTCCGGGGCTGCATCGATCTTTGTATCAATAATAACAACAAACTAGTGGGGGTTTTAAAGCTATAGTGAATCAAAAACTTTAAACTGGAGGTTATTTATAATTGCATACAGCTTCTGTATGTGCATATCATGGTAGTCAAAACATCGTAAATACATCATGATATTCAATAAAATTAATATTGGAAATATCTGTTTGTTTTTTAATTAATTGGTACTTTCAATTGCTTTGAATTTCATCAGCTTGAACAAGGACTTCATACAGAGATTAGCTCGCTAACATGAAGACAGGCTACATTTGCTACTTTATTATAGACATAGATAGTACGTTATAATTTTATCGAGTAAAGACCCGGTCAGATATAAGCATTATTCGCTACCTACCGCTGTGGGTAGCGAAAATTACCTCGTGGTACCCCGCCGGGTATGAAGTTCCGCGGCACGAGCGAAACCGGATTACCTACCGCACCATACCGGGTATCTTTTCACTTGCTTTGCAGTACAGGTTTCGCCGCACGACGCGGGTGCAGTAGCAAATTCATTCCTCTCTAGACCTCGCTAGTCAGTAACGATAATAATAAATGATAATAAGTACCTAATGGATTTTGCTACCCACAGCGGTAGCGATATCCGGTTAGGTCTGAAAAGTAGGAAAATCGCGTACCTACATGGATTTCGCTACCCACAGCGGTAGCGAATAACGCGTATATCGAAACAACCCTTAACAAAAGTTCGAAAATTTAATCAGACACCTAGTACAAAAGTGATTATATTTTTTTTTTTAATAAAATGTAACTGCGCATTTGTCCTTCATCTCACCTGGTGGAAAGTGACGACGAGGTCGACGATGGAGCATGCACACTTAAATAATGCCTATTCACTCTCGCCTTTTCTCTTTATTATTAATTTTAACTAATATATGTATAATTGTTTTAATTCTTCTTCTTATTATCGTACCAATGGCATATACACTATAATGCTTGCCATCGTGGTGAAAGGACTTGTCAATCGGGGCAAAAGGTACTCGCTGATTGTTGCCCTGCTACTCGCCAATTATTGCCGGGCCTGTTTCACGAACCTACAATTTTACTAGTTCACTAGTTACTAGTTACCAGTACTAATATTATAAGTACTAGCAAATTTCGTATCACAAATAAAAATATTACTCTTGTAGCTAGTAGTCGTAGACTGCTCAATAATACTAGTTTAAATTGGTTGCGTACAACTTAATTCCATAGCTTATACGTCAACAGTTAAAAATTGGCCAAAACAATTTTCCTGTTCAAATAATTAAATAATTATATATGTATGTATGTATGTTGAGTGTGTGCGTTATTATTTTTTATGTAAAAAGTTATGTGTATGTAAAATATATTATGTAAAAAAAATATGTTAAAATGTTTAAATATAATAATATACGATAATAAAACAAATCCTAAAATTGTCGTTTCGAGTGCCTTACAGACTTAGGTTCTAATTAGAAATATTTCAAGTCGTTTCTGTATTCATTATTAAGTCTGATCAATCTCAAGGTGGGAAAAAGAGCGAAATTTTGTTGTTTCGACATAATGAAATTTTTAAAATCGAAATGTTGTGGAGAACATTGTACGTTATAATAATTAATTACCGTTAATATACTAAATAACTACTCCGTTAAAGTAAATTAATATTTCTGACCAAGAACCAGTATGGTTTACTTACGCTTATAAATAACGAGCCCTGTACCCCACCTACGGTGGGGTCAGGCTCGGCCTGCGGGGCGTGGTCGAGTACATGTTACGGGGTGTGCTTATGATCTTCGGCGGCGTAGTGGTTAGTACTATGGGCACTTGATGAGGAGGTTCCGGGTTCGATTTCTAAATTTAAGAAACGAACATTTGTAAATTGGTTCTGTTCTGGGTATTGCCTTCAGAGTTATCGTTTTTCTTGTATTCATAGTACAGGAAATTCCCTAACTTAAGACCTGGGAATTTGGTGACATTCACTACGTCGTGAACAGCACGACTTACGCTAGCTTTAGAAACCTCATGCATATCGGCTACTTCATGGTAGGTACTGTTACTCCAGTAGGTACCCATGCATTGCAACTTGTATAATTATTTTGGTTGATAATGATTGGCTTCTATCGGTTATTCGCTGTATTTCAGGTGCAATCGCAGTCAAGAGAGCTTCCAGTTTCTCGCTTGTCAAACGAAATCTTTTGCTAAATTAATAAGTAGTTTGTAACTTTTCATATGAATTTCGAGGTACAAATACTCGACGACGTCGCACTATTACAGTTTCTTCCTCACTTTCCGAACATGACGACATCTTTGTCTAAGTGACTCCACTGATAAAATTTTCGTACAAGTTTACAATACGCCTTCGACTGATAGAAATACCTTTGTAATATATGAGTATATTGAACTAGTAGTGTTTTTCATGAGACAGAACATAGTTTACAAGGGTAATTATGGACTAGTAACTATTAACCATGAAAGCAGTAGCTAATAATTTACCATCGTAGGTTCGTGAAACGCACACTAGTAGAATAGTATAAAATAATAGTCCTTGGACTAGTAATACTAGACTGGTAAGTTTCGTGAAATAGGGCCCAGTACTAATATTACAAGTACTGGTAAATTCCGTTTCACAAATAAAAATATTATACTTGTAGCTAGTAGTTATAGACTAGTAAATAATACTAGATTTAAATTGGTTGTGTACTAGTACATCTTTATTTCTTGGCTCATGCGACAGGTGTTAAAACATTGGCGGGAACAATTTCCTGTTCAAATAAGTAAATAATTATAAATATGTGTACATGAAAATATATCATGTAAAACAATACATGTTAAAATAAATAAGTATAATAATAGGAAATGAAACTATTTTTCCGAATTTAAATGCATATATTTGTTTTTTCAAACAAATAAATGTTTCGGGCCCTATACAGGTCCCATGGTCACGGTTGACTGTTGATGGAAAAACAGCTCCTATTTGAACAATCGCGAAAACCTAAGAACTCGATAAGTATAATAATATTAATAATAATGTACGAAACTAAAAGAAATGTTAAAATTTGTCTTTATAATGTCAGACTCAGGTTATAAATTAGAAATATTTCAAGTCGTCTCTGTATTCACTATTAGGTAAATATTATGTTTGACCAATGTCGAGCAGTCATCTACGTATCGATATTTTCTGGTCCCAAGCGTTGTAAGGGCGGGAAAAAGAGCGGAACTTTATAGTTTTCGGCATAATAAAATTTAGAATATTGAAATTTTGTGGAGAACATTGTACTTAGTAAGAATTAATTACAGTTAATATAATCAATAACTACTCCGTTAAAGTAAATAAATATTAATTACGTAAAGATCTTATGGATCCTGCCACTGCACGTCGACCTGAGACGTAAGTTGACAAGTCCCATGTGCCTGTAATTTCACCAGCACCCTTACCCTTCCAAAGCGAAACGTAGTAATGCTCACATTACTGCTTGGCGGCAGAAATAGGTAAGGTAAGTAAGGCAGTACTTCCCTAGATGGGGATTCACAAGGAGCTCTATTGCTACTAAATTCTTATTTCCGTCGAGCGTTTAAAAAAAAGGCGGGAGAAACAAACGCACGAAAGAAACACGAAGGCCCACGGGGGTAAAAATATAAAAAAATGGTAAAAAATTGCTGCTTTAGAGGTCATATTAAATGAGAAATCGATTTTGTTTGGTAGTTCCGAGGTGGAAATACTCGACGACGTCGTATTATTGCAATTTCTTCCTCACTTTCCGAACATGACATCTTTCTTTAAGTGACGCCACTGATAAAATTTTCTTATAAGTTTACAATACGCCTTCGACTGGTAGGAATACCCTTGTAATATATGAGTATATTCGACTATAGTGTTTTTCATGAAACAGAACATATTTTACAATGGTAATTATGGCCTAGTAACTATTACCTTGCAACTAGTAACTAATAATTTATCATCGTAACTTCGTGAAACGCACATTAGTAGAATAGTACAAAATAATAGTCCAGGGGCTAGTAATACTAGACTGATAAGTTTCGTGAAACAGGGCCCTGGGTGCGCCGGTTGCGCGAGAACGACATAAAGCGATCTCTATGCGAGAATATCTCGCGCTTTATGTCGCTCTCACGCTGTCGCGTCCTGTCGTGCTAGCCCTATAGGTAGACGTACAGAAAAGAAATCGTATGTACTTACGTGCACACCGCGGTTTCAATAGTATTTTAGTACTATTGAAAGTGAATTGTTCTAAATGAGTTTACTAGATTTTTCAATTATAATTTTCAGGAGTGCATTTACATTTTTATGTTGGACGGTGTGGCTAAGCCCCACTATTCCGCAATTTATCATGTCCATAACGTTATGGATCTACATGCACCTAGAGGAAGAATTTCAAGGACTCTACGACACTACTGGCTCGGTAATATATTTGCTTTATCACAGTTTTATGTTTATATTGGTTATATGCGTAGCAATACGAAGAAGTACTTTTCATAAATTGCAGTAATACCTAAATACGTAATCTATTGCGTTAAACCTAAAAATATCCCGAACTGGCCATGCAATTTGAGATAAATAATTAATCTTACTACAGTAACTGTATGGTTTCACACATTTATGCTGTGCGCACGCGGCGATCTACTTCTGGCACGTGCCGCACTATTATTTAAACACGCAATTCACACTCTTATTTTCACATAGTACGTTATCAACTGTCCACCAATACACACTTCAAGGAAAGATTTGTCACCATAATATCTGTATTTTACGTATACCAATATACTTTTACCATTTCTTTGCAAGTCTTTCTCCGAGTACCTACTATTATTACAATCCATGTATGGTGTAAGCTGGCCCTTACAGTAACAACTTTTAAACAGTGCTTAACATTTTTTTCTTGTTTATTTACTGTTCTTTTCAGTTAAAATTATCTTGGAGTATGGGGTTCTCCATAATGCGGATGATGTGTCTAGTCTACTTAACTCCGTGTTTGGTGATAGACGACGCCAGATCGGTCCTCAGATATTACAACTCCATAAATTGGATATATCACGTAGTGTTATTATCTTTGATGGTATACGCTGTAGCTGTTGCCAAGTTTAGAGCTAGTAATGTTGTCTAAAAGTTTTGGTATAAATTGGGATTGACTTATTTTAAGCAGATTTCTTGAGTATCATTAATAATAAATAAATAAATTAAAAGATACTAGATTTTTATTTGCAAAATTGCAAAAAAAATTACAGAAGTCTTCAATTTAATATCGAATGTTAATATCGAAAAGTAATTCGTCAATATATTTTTTATTTAATCAGGCAATTGCGACCCAAATAATATAAACCTTGAAGACTAACAAGCATATAGGTAAGTAATAAATATAAAAACTAGGTAGGTAACTAATCTATAAGAATATATATATATATATATATATATATATACTTGTCTGCGACATCTGGTGTCAGGTAACCGGCCTCGGAACCAGCGCTATAGGTACGACACCCTTCGGCCTAAACCTCTTATTTATGGCGGTCGACCGTATGATCCGTCCGCACTCTCACCACTAGGGGCCTAAGGGGATCTAAATCATATCTTGTTCTCCTGCCCTTCAATTGACCACGATACTTATTACATATTCGAACTTCTGGCAATCAATTTTCCATTCCCCCACCTCCATTACAAGTTTATTGTATTCATGTAACAAAGATGTATATAATGTACTGACCTTATTTATCGAAAATAATAATATCAAGCTTTAAAATGTATGTCGTTGCCTTCGAGACGTCGATGTATCTTAACAGCTAATCACGTACTCAACCTACCATTCGAATTCCGTACTTTTTCCATAATCTGTAATTCTGCTTTCCCACCCTTTCATTGGCTAAATGAAAAAGTAAAGTCATTAAAAAAGAATATTAAAAAACGATATGTAAAATGATATCTCGCTTTCGATCAATGCAAAGGAGGGGATGATGTGTGCACAAAACATACCTGGTAGGTATAAATTTGATAATATTTAATTTATCGAGTTCTTAGGTTTTCGCGATTGTTACACATAGGAAATGAAACTATTTTTCCGGATTTACAACCGGTCAACCGTGACCATGGGACCTGTAAAGGGCCCGAAACGTCGGTTTGTTTCAAAAAACAAATATTTAATTTATGATCTGTAACAAGTATGGAAGGGTAAGTTCAGTAAATCGTGCGCCTAATGGTAAACTACACGCCTGTACATAACAATTGCAGTGCCACTCAGAGCTTTAAATCGCAAAGATCTGAGGGGCACTGCTAATGCGCCCGCCACTCTGAGATATAAGTTGATAAGTCTCATGTGTCTGTAATTTCACCAGCACCCTTACTTTTCAAAACCGGAACACAGTAATGCTGACATTACTGCTTGCCGGCAGAAATAGGTAAGGTAGCAGTAACCCTGGACGAACTGTTTCACATGGAGCTCTACTGCTACTTGTGAAAGACATAGTTCATTATATCGCATGAGATGGGTAACGCACTAAACCATAGCCTCGTAGGTAATTTTTTTTTACTCTAGTACCCTGTATTAAATTGATGTTTTAAAACTGTTTAAAAAAAACTAAAATTTACGTTGCAGCGGGTCTCTAAACGCTCAGGGTGTAAACGGCTTTCATTCTTATATAATCCACTATTTCTTGAGACTTTGTACCAATAATGCATCCACCAGACAACCACATCGGTAATCTAGTTTCAAACTAGGGAGTTTCCTGTAGTATTTGTACCAGAGCAACGGAATTATCTCCCAAAAACAGACTAGAATCAATTTAGAAAAGTTTTAAGTATTATTTCACAAAAAAATATTGAATATCATGGTGGTGCAACATCCCGACAGTCAATAAATTTAATTACAAAAAAGAAATACACACATCAAAAGTGTCTAGGGATCAAGTACGTTTAAGAGTATTGCTGCAATTAGGGTTAATTATATTAACTTTTTTGTATCGCTATTGATACTTTTTAGTGAGTTTTAACATTTAAATAAGGAATATTGTTTAAAATTCGTTAATAAGAAGAAAATCGATTGTCAATGTGGTTTTGTATAAAAATGAGTTATAGCGTTTTGACAAAATCATTACAATATCTGCATCGGAACCGAAACAATTTACATTATTATGGAGAGACGACATCATTTAACCCGAGAAGTGATGATGCGAGCCGTCGGAATGTTGGAAGCTGGTTCCAGGCAACGTGCTGTGGCTTTCACTCTTAACACTACACAGAGCGTCGTAAGTCGCCTCTGGACGCGCTATCGCATGACGGGCAGCGTGGCCGAGCGACATGGAGGACGATCTCGCATCACGACTCGCAGACAGGACCGGTATATCCAAAATACTGTTCGACGGAATCGTACCATGACCGCCATGATAATAAATAAATAAATAACGCACACATTCAACATAGCCCCGCACTAGGGAAACCCTGTGTCGCGGGTGCCATGGACACACACATAGACAACCACAAATTACACCCAAACTCACGAGAGAAATAAATGTAAGCCATACAAACATTTCTCCCGGCCCGGGAATCGAACCTGGGACCTCTGCGTGGCAGTCCGGCATGGTAACCGTTCGGCCACGGAGGCAGTTGATGTTGGTTGCGAGGCTCCACAGCTCCTTAGGCTTGCTAATAAGCGATCAAACAATCCGAAATCGTTTACGTGAAGTGGGTCTGCGATCCCGAAGGCCGGTCAGAGTTCCACCCATTGCACCCTGCAATCGCAGGACCCGTTTACGATGGGCTCGCGAACACAGAAACTGGGAGGAAGAAGACTGGCGCTATGTGTGCTTTTCGGATGAATCCCGCTTCGGTATGAGACCGGATACAAGACGTACTCGAGTTTGGAGAACATCTGGACGTCATGAACGTTTGAGATATTGTCAGAAAGTTCATCCATATGGTGGGGGAACAATAATGATATGGGCCGGTATTTGGATCGGCGGAAGAACCGATCTCATTTGGATCAGGGGTAACCTCAATGCTCAAGTTTACGCAGAGAGGATTGTTTCAGATGTTATCATCCCTTTGCGAGGCCAGTTGGGTGATTCATTTCAACTAATGCATGACAACGCACGTCCACACACGGCTAGAGTCGTAACACGCATTCTTGCCGAAGCTCGTATCAACGTTCTGCCGTGGCCTGCTCAATCGCCAGACCTCAATCCAATTGAGCACGCTTATTTATACTATATGCTTCAAAGAAGAGCTGTGCCGAGTATGCATACCGTACATACTCTACAACAATATTTTGACTTGTTACAAAACACATGGGCGACCATTCCTCAAAGTGATTTTGATGAACTCATCTTAAGCATGCCAAATCGCTGTAATTGTGTGATTCGTGTTAATGGTGGAAATACAGATTATTAATTTTCTTATCTTTACAATAAAAATGAGCAAAATCATCATTTTCCGCCATTTTTTTGTCATTTAATTGACGCCGTTAATTTGACTTTTTTCCCACAATTTGCAAAAACATCAATTTTAGTTTATTTTAATTAAATATAGGGGTAAGCGGTTAAATAAAACATAAGCATTAAAGTAAGAAGTCGTCCTGGAAGACTGGATTTGGTAAATATTGCTTAAATAATTTTTATTTCAAAAATATTCACTTGATCCCTAGACACTTTTGATGTGTGTATTTAACAACAATATACAATATCAAATATAACGCTACTCGAACGCTCTACTGCGTCTTGATTGGTTAAAATATAATCGGTACTCGCGGCTAATCATGGACACATCTATTCGATACCTCTGGTTTTTGTTGTGCTGTGTTTGTTTGGCTTTCGATTGACTGTGTTGTCATGGATTGTTAACAAAATATACATTAAATATGTTTCGTCATGTTAATTTACTAATAGAAAAAGTATTGTATGCCATTATTATACAATTATACTTTAAAATCTCCTGCCTTAGGTTCTTTCTTGAACCTATTAATTAACCTAAACACGGTACTCGTGTTTAAGAACCCTCACTATGCAACGATGGCATAAAAAAAAACTATCGAGTTCTTAGGTTTTCGCAATTGTTACACATAGGAAATTAAACTATTTTACTGGATTTAAATCGCGTGTAATTGCTTTTTCAAACAAACCAACGTTTAGTTTTTTTAGTTTAACGTAAAGACCTCGTTACAGGTCCCATAGTCACGGTTGACTCGGCCCGAAACGTTGGTTTGTTGGAAAATACAAATACACGCGATATAAATCCGGAAAAATAGTTTCATTTCCTATAAAAAAAATATTTAAAAACATTTAAGTCCCGATTTTAAAATGAAAAAACTTGATCCTATCCGTTTTTAATAACAATAACAAAATTTATTTATTGAGACAACTGAGATCCAATCAAATGTTAGTAGGTACAGACTTAAAACTATATTAGTACTTATATTTTACCAGTGACTTTGTATTATTTATTAAGTGCTGCATAATTGGGCACTCAGCACACAGGGCTAACAGGAAGTCAGCAACTGTCTTCAGGAGGCTATTGGGGCCGCCAGGTATTCTCTTCAGTAGCGACGCCGACTTTTTACGTCCAACAGCCGTGAGATCTACGCGCCCGTCATTGAACATGGCTGAGACACTGCAGAAACGTGACAGCCCCAAGAGCATCCTGAAGGCGTTGTTGTATTGCACGCACAGAACATTCCGAGAGCACTGAGTGTAGGTCTTCCACAGACCGCTAGCGTACATTGGTGTGCAGTAATCTCTAAACAATGTTATGTTAACTGCAGCCGTATATCTGGCGAACTTGCGGGCAAGCATGTTTGCTCCCACCGATAGTGCTCTCCGTTCGCGCTGTATATCCAGGTCATCCTTGAGGTCGTCGATAACATAGTGTCCTAAGTATTTGAAGTGGCTAACCTTTTTTAATGGACAACCATTAAGTAGTACAGGAAGTGCACACGTAGGACTCTTCCCACCGGCGGCTCCAAAGATCATAAACTCGTACTTTTTAACATTATATAACAAGTCATGGGATGTTACATACGCCTCTCTGGTGTTTAAACAAATTCCGTCAACAAAGCAGCCCACATGCGTGCTGCTGAGTTCACCAATCAGTGCTTTGACGTACAAATTGAATAATCTAGGGAAAAAAAGGAGATGTTAGTCCATCCTGCCTAACCCCGCATCCCAAGTTATACGGCTCCAAAAATTTGTTCGCCCACCTTGCAACACTTTTTAGCTTGTTATGTTATGCACCGCCTGTTAATTATTATTCCGAGCCCTATTATTGAACCCAGCAGCTCTTCGGTTGCGTAGTAGAGAATGCCAAATGGCATTAAATCATCATTTATACTGTTCAGTGTGCACAAACTTTAAATGAATAAAAAAAATGCATTAATTGAAGCCTGAACACTCATTAATTATTATTGATTATCAACTGAAAATATAAATTGAAATGACACACAATATGATTGCAAGTTCAACATTTATTTTATATAAATCTTTTGTCTTAAAATTATAATTAACTATTAATAAAATTTATACTATACATAAAAAAACAAGCTTTGGATCAATATCTCCTAGTTTCTTGCTCATTAAAGCAACAGTAATTCTGTAAATATTTTTTTATACTATAAGGTATTGATAATTTTTCCTAATTTCGAGGCGTTCAATAAAAATAGCATGATGGTAGTCACTAATAATAATAAGTGAAGTTTTGAACTATAAATTCAACTTAGCATGATGTTAGTCACCAATAAGTGAACAAGTGAACTTTCCAACAATAATAGATCGAAAGTTTTTGTACCCGTGTAATCATGGGCATATTTGTTTAGGTTGATTATGGTCACGTCACCGTTCAATTAAAACAAAATCTTCAATTGTTTTTTCATGTTGATTATACGTTCTGGAATATGTTGGCAATGGTTCATATCATAATTTAACTCCTTTTTTAGCGTTCATCTGTGTCCATGAATATGACTTAAGGACCGGAGGAGAAGCGAGAAAAACTGGCTTGCTAAATCAAATGTTTTTGGTATTTACTATTAAATAACGGTCAAGCAAAAAAAAAAATACTATACACCTTTGGATATTGTCTGAAGAATGGGTTAATTTGTTATAAGATGTATACTTCACCCGATCATATAAAATCCTGAAAATAGGCGACCACCCGTGGACCCATGGGCCTAAAGGGCCCGAAACGTTGGTTTGTTTGAAAAACGAATATACGCGAATTAGATCCGAAAAAAAATGCTTCATTTCAGAAGCCCTGTAGTTATTAAATTCTCATTTATCCCAAAATTTTAAAATTGCCCTGCCGCTGCTCCGTCAGTCAGTCAGTCGCCATCGGGCGCTTATTGACGACGGATCCGTGTCAAATTTTCTCCGCCTGTTTTTACTTTATTCATATTAATTTTCAGCGCGCGAGTAGCAGGACGTGAGAGGTAGTCCCCCACATCTCGCCTCGTAAAAATATAGGCTCGCATTGAAATACCTCGCTTTAACAGGAAAATGAAAAACCGAGGGTCATAGTATATTAGTGACTGGATCATGTCTAATGAGGTTTGGTCAGTATAATGTACAAAACCAAATCAAACTTCGATCGTATAGAGCTCGCAAGACTGTCATCTTGAATAACCTCTATACCACACTTGTGACTTATTTATACTTATAATGAATGTGGTTATTAACTAATTTTGTTACTCGATCAAAGCTCAATCGATGTAACTAAAATTTCGTGTTTTTATCACAGATTAAACTCAAATGGAAGACTTTTTTGGTCGCAATAACTCTAAATAACTTTTGTTGTTATCACTCACGTATAAATAATTCTCTACATGCACAAATTCATTTCGACGGTTTAAAGAGACTAAACTAATGCTTAGGTTAAAAATGTGTTTACCTATAATAAGACAAATAATAATGTGGTAACGCCATACAGACCCGCCTACCACGCGCCGTGTACAAACGCACATATTCGCATAATCTCGCGGTGCACTCGCGTGTCAGTGCGCGGGTTGTCGCACTCGCCATTCATTACACAATTGAAGCATTCGCTTGGTGTTTAAAAATGGTTGTTTAAATAAGAGTGTCTCAAACTGAGAGTTGTTCAGCATTCTATCATTTCTATTTCATAATCATATTCTCATAATCGAGATACCAATCCGCGATACTGGTATAAAAATATCAATACGTAAGTACTGGATCTAACAAAGGTTATTTCATTGTATCACGAGAATATGTAATGAACACATTATTTTTTCAAATTATGTTTAGAACTTGTAGATATATCTAAAATAGCAATGTGACAACCCTACGCTATATATATATACAAATACATTAAAAGCTCTGCTGATAATGCATAACAAAAACATTGTTATCGTTGAGGAAATCGGCAACCTTTGCCTGGGTAAACGGGCACTACTGGTAGTGGCAATACGAGTTCGGTTTATGTAAGAGCATCATTAAACATTGATTTCCTTCAGTCAAAGCATTTTATCACCCTATATAAAAACCGACAAATTACTTAACGTCAAAATATTCGTGCTCGCATGGTGTACCGATTTCTACAACACAGCATATTCCATACACAAGGTATAATTGTTAAGTGTGCCCAGGCGATACTTCCGTAACTTTAAAACGTAACAATAAGTTTACAGATAACGAAACTGTTTTAAATAAAGTAATAAAACTACCTTTTAAACCGAATAAAAGTGATGTTTATATTTAAGTAAGTACAAAATTTTGTTTTCAAAGGAGTTGTTCGAAGCAGGGAAACTAAAGTCTCTCTGAATGTCATATTAAATGAATAGAAGCGTTAAACTTTAAAATTTTGGATATTTCTAGTTTTATTTAAAAAAAATTGATGTCGTTTTACTCATTAGATAACATACTTTCGATATCAGTTTAAAGGTTTTTGATATCTCTTATATCTACGGAATTATTACCTGAGCATGCTTAACAATTACACCCTGTATAGACTCGTGTACTCGACTTGCGCAAGTTTACTTGCAATGCAACTTGAATGTGTAGCCGGGCCTTAATTTGACTATAAATAAGCACGTTGTTCTATATTTCTATATGTAAATCTAAAAATAAGATAATACATTTTATTGTCTTATTTATATATCATCAATCAATAGATTGGTATGATAAAATAGCACGAGCATATGTGACATCACCGTTAATTAGTGGTTACGGTAACTGTTGTTTCGAATGCAATTAATGCATTAAGTACTTATTTTAAACTATTGTTTTATTTCTCACAAAATCAAATGCCACATGAAGTAGAAAAGAAAATATTATGAGCGAGTAACACCACGAAAATTATTGTTTTTTTAGAGATGTATCAATATATTTGGCAAAAGCGTTATGTATACACAGTGTATAGGTACCAATTCATTAATTAGAAATAAATCTCATTTCGTCCCGTCGACCACGAGCGATATTTAAATTTTGGCGTAAATTTTTTTCTTGCGGTGAACACTGTTTTTTAAGGGTATAACTAATTTTTCAGGAAAATTATGTAAGGTATTTTAGTTTATCGTGATCTCTACAGCTTTAATTTCCACGACTGGATTTTCGATGATGGTCTTGTTCTGTATTAGACGTAACTCGATTAGCGCTTTAGGGATCTCGCCTTCTGGCTGGAGAGCTGGAATGAAGTAGTACAAAATCAAACACAGACCGCGCATTACAACAATACAGTATTGTTTTCTCAAGCTGTTGGAAATTTAAATGAACATCTAAAAAATCACACATCTAAAACGACATCCAAAAAACATCTAAAAAGGTAATCAGGTGCAGCCGGGTTGAACAAGATAGAAAAACGAGTGGTTAACATTCTTAAGAATCTACGTTCATGGATGGGAAGCCAATTTGACGATGAAAAGCAGAGTTCTTATTTGGGTATAAAGGTTTTTCTGACCGGCTTAATACGATTCCATGTTGACAAGTGTTGTAACTCCCTTAATGATATATTTATCTTTATTATATCATTAGATATGATAATATAATAATTATATATATATATATTTCTTTTTGTAAACATCATAGTATCGTCGCCTTACTTTCTCGTATCTTAAAGCACAAAATTACTGAAATGCAAAAAATGGATTGTGTATATACAAATTTTGCAGGCTGATTTCACATCACATTTCCTTCATGCTTTCACACTATTTTTACCTATTCTTAAAGTAATGCATAATGCGATAAGAAATTTAAAATAAATTGAAAGTTTTGCCATCTCCTTCACTCTTTATACGATAAGAGTTTGAGAAAGTAGGGCATCGATATCATTTCTATATAATATCACATGTGCCATACAATTGTCATTATTTGGTTTTAGTAATTATCAATAATTACCAGAGCACTATAGTACTGTAAAAGGCACCCAGACCTTGTTACTATAAAAAAGACCAAATCAAACAATGAAAAACATAAAGTAGTGATTGTCAAGTAGGTAATTCTCCGCCGTGAAATGTTCTTTGTCATTTTGACTATTAACTTACCTCTAGCTTTCTGATACGTATCTTTTACGATACCCTGCAACGTTGCTATAGTCTTTTCCAATGTTAATTTGATGTCATTATTAGTTTTATGCGACCAAGCAAGGAATAGTGCGGCGAATAGGTCACCGGTGCCGGTGTAGGTTGCGTCCATCTTTGGTATTTGAATTTGGTAACAGGAACCACCTGAAAATTACATTATTTATCAATACAACGCCTTAGCGCAAATGAAAAGACGTAGTTGACAATGAGCTGTGATCAATTGAGCCAAATTGGGGATCAAACGAATTGAGAAACATCGAGTACTTAGGAAACTTAGCACTGTCCACTGAACGTGAGTTCGATGTGCTGAAAGTAAACCACAGTTCAGCACAAAAAAATCTTGTACGCAAACCGTACATTTAGAAATTAAATTACTTAAATTAAATGTTGTACAAGTCAATTTACCTTTGGTGCTAGCAATACCAATCATTTTCGTGTCATCTCCCAAATCTGTACTAGACAGAACAACAGTTTTCACACCCTTATCATGCAACGCTTGTATCACCTCCAGGGCCCCTTTCAAGTCTTTGACCTTGAGACCTGTCATCAGTTCGGCTTCAAATTGGTTCGGAGTGATAATATCCGCCAAAGGCACAACTACATCACGATAGACGGGTAGTATATCTGCAGGGACGTACATTTGGCCGTTGTCTCCCATTACTGGATCGCATACTATAAGTAAAACACAGATTTCTTTTATGATATCAAGTGACGGGACAAATAGGTCGTGCGCCTGGTGGTAAGTGACAAGCCTACCCATAACAGTTGCAGAGCCATTCGAAGCTTTAAATCGCAAAGATCTGAGGGGCACATAAAATTGACAAGCTCCATGCTCCTGTAGTTACAACTTTCTTTTCCATTCAAAGCCGGAACGCAGTAATGTTCACATTACTACTTGGAGGCAGATATAGGTATGGTAGTAGTACTTCCCTGGATAACAAATGTAATCATAGAAGCTCTGTTTGAAGTTATGCTAAATATTTTTTAGTAGCAGTAGAGCACCTTGATTAAGAATATAAAACAAAACTAGTGGAGTTATTCCACAAAAAATCTCAATAAAAAAAAGTAGAGCTCCTTGTGAAAGAGTTCGTCCAGGGAAGTACTGCCCTATTTCTGTCGCCAAGCAGAAATATGAGCATTTTGCGTTCCGATTTTGAAGGGTAAGGGTGCTGGTGAAATTACAGGCACATGGGATCAACTTATACCTCAGGGTGACGGGAACTGAGGCATTGCCGCTCATAACTTTGCTATTTAAAGCTCTGAGCGGCACTACAACTGTTATGGACAGGCGTGTCACTTAACATCCGACGACTTGTTCATCCCGTTATCGTCACTTGGTATTATAAAAAAAAACTCGTTATTTTATGAACACGTATACGGTGTTCAAGCGTGTAATAGGAATCTACGTAGGAGGTATCTACGTTTTTATTAGCAAGTGGCAAGTACCGCGATTAAATACATTTTAGTGGCGGAGTGGTAACTTTTAATAGGTAAACCGATTGAGATTAGATTATCGCATACACAAACCAGATCGGTGTAAAAGCGGCGTGGCGGAAATTTATTTCATTTTAATAAAATATCAATTCCTTTGTTAAATATTACTATATTTCAATATACTTATATCTATATCAATATTATAAGTTCCTGTCTATGTACATCCTATTCATACTAGATTGAAATAGGGAGGCACACTGGCAATTTCTCCCGCTAGATGGCGCATGAATAATGGTGCTGTTAGACTGTCAACGTCATCCGAGTATATAGCCAGAAATAGAGACGAAATAAGGGCCATCCATTCCTGACATCTCATCAGGCAAATGGGTCTTATATCACTTTTAAATATCAACTCTCGTTTGCGCTGAAATCGCAAATTAGAAAGCTGAAATAGTACAGCGCCAACAACTGACCTGTGTGTACGTCTTCGTATATTCCAAAAATATTCTGTATTTATTATAATAAAGATAATATCTCTAACAATGGGGGCTGTTCCATTCGGTGGTGTGAGAAAAACCGCAAAACATCTAACTACAAAACAAACGTTATAAAAAAAATTGTACATAACCTGTATCCTTACAGGTTGTACCTATCCAACTAAACGATTACTCCCGTGTTGCTGATTAAATTTAAATCGCAGTAATTTTCTTCATTAAAGAAAAATACATATTGGGAATCTTGCTGCATTTAGGAGCATATCTATCTATTGGAATAGCGAGCAAACCGTCAATTCGAAAAAACAAACAAAATTGTTTAAGATATACTTAAGGCGGCTTCCTACGGCCCGTGACTCGTATCGCGGCTCGCGCCGTGCATTTCTTAATAACGCGTCAATGAAAGAGGACTGCCCGAGCGTGCCCATGCTCGCGCGTGGCGGCCTGTTTGGATTCGCCTCTGGCAGGTAACCTCAAAGGCGCGGCGCGGCCTATACTATTGTTCTCTTGTCGCTACGCGCGTTGGTCTGAGGCCGCCCGGACTCGCCGGTATCGCGAGCTCGCTCACTCAAATCGACGCCTTTGACATCACGTCATTCACGGGCCGTGGCAACGCACCATTAAGAAAAGATAATACCTTCTTAACTTTTAATTTTAGCTCATTAGTTCGTAAGTAAAATGCGTCAATATGTGAACACCTACGGTTACAGTAGTCACCACAATTATTAGGAACGAGTCATTGTCACCTCGGTTTGAGTCGATCAAAAAAGATTTTCAATTTTTGAAAAGCTTCCGCTCAGAAGCCGGAGGGCATAACTTTATGTTTCTCTTGTTCCACGCACATAAAACTGTTTCTGATAGGCTCAAGGTGACTGTGGCTCGTATTCCAGAACTCTACTCAATGCTTGAGTATTCAAGTCCTGACTTGAGCATATTAAATCATACGATTTAAAGCACTAGAAATCATACATATATACATAGGGTCGTATTTCCCTACTTACGCATATAATTCGCGTAGCTGTAGGTGCACATTAGAAAATGCACGTTTCAAACGCTTGTCATGTGGTCGACCACAACAGCGTCGCACCTTTCTAGCTTGCACCTGTACATTTATCTCTATTGTTAATGCTAATTCTCGGCTTGCGATTCATTTTGCGTGTATGAAAATGGAACGAAATATATAAATAGTTTTTTATTGGTGTTCAAATTATTAGTAATGTGATGATTATTTACAATACATAGGACGGTCAATCTCGGACTAGTGTTCACTACCTAATTTTCGTGTCAATTTTTATTATTTAAATATTCAAGCATATTATCGTGTAATTATTAAAAAAACATTTCACGATACAGTTCTCGAACATTAAATAATTGCACGATAAAAAAGCGAATAATTAAATAATAAAAATTGCCACAGAAATTAGGTATTTACTGAACACTAGTCTGAAATGGCCGAGGAACACTTGGTATCTTATTAATGGTAGGAAAGATTTAAGGAAACATATATATAAACAAACATGATAAGATCATAGATAATATGAACTTTTGTATTATCTTGCATGATAAATAGTTGTTAAAAGAGATAGGTAACTGCGAAAACCTTTTATATATGTTATATTAACTATCATCGGTGAATCATAGACCGAACTTAGTGTCTTTAACTATAAGACTGACTTTAGGTTCAATTTACGTTACAGAACGGAATGGAAGCAAATTTTTGTAACCATAGCATAATGAACTTCATGTCAATTGTGTAAACAGGTCGCGCGTTATCTGGAGAATTCTCACTCATCAGTCAGCAACTGCCTCAGTGGCCGAACGGTTACCATGCTGATTAGTCACGCAGAGATCCCGGGTTCGATTCCCTGACTGGAAAAATATTTGTAATAGACATCATTTATTTCTCTTGTGAGTTTTGGTGTAATTTGTGGTTGTCTATGTGTGTATCCATGGCACCGGCGACACAGGCTTTTCGTAGCGCGGGGCTATGAGTGTATGCAAAAAGAGTACCTATAGTATCTAGTTTACATTACATTACGTTACACAATTGACATTACAAGACAAGTTCATTATGTTAAGTGCAATTTTGTTACAAAATTTCACTTCCATTCCCGTACCATTGCCGTAATGTAAATTGAGCCTTTCTTTATCAAAGCTAACCTTAAGGCAACAGGTTACTTAATGAAGCATTAAATTAGTGGACGGTTGTGCAACTGAGCGTTAATCTAGGTACAGAATCAATTTCGAATACATAATCAATACATAATTTGCGTGACAACTAATTATTTTCTATTTAAACGAATAGTTTTAGTAATTTAATAGTTCAGTTTAAGTAATTTTAGTAATTTTGGTATAGAAAAAAATCTAAACCTAGTAAAAGGAAAGTTTGTAAGGAGAACCAATAATTTCTTAAGCAAATTTGAAAATTCATATTTAATACTTTTGTAAGAAAAGACAATGTTTTAGTGTTTTTGGTCAATTAATTTAAACCTTGAGGGGTAAAATAGTAGGTACCTATTATACGCAGACGAAGTCGCGGGTACTGGCTAGTACTTTATAAGCACACACGTATGCTTGCTTGTTTCTGTATTGTAGTTCATACTCGTATGATTTAAAATATGAATTATAATAATATTTGTGTAAGTATTTTATAAGTACATATTTATAGTACAGTACAGAACTTTCCATTTAATAGAACTACTTGTCCAATTAGTTATAGTAAATATAACAAATTGTAAAATGTTAGTGCAAAAAGTCATTAATTGCCATATAATTTATACGGCAATTAACGACTTCTTGCAACAAGCCGACGAAATAGTTTAATGACCTATTGTGACAGACGAATAAGTTATATCAATTGTTGTTTATTCATAAACCTGGTATCAAACCTGGTGTATTTTTTTGGAAAGAAAATCAATTGTGTACAGGGTTATTTGTTTGTCATTATAAACAACAACGTATGCTCTACTACACGTTTTAACAATACATCAGATTTTACATTCTTACAAATATATTAGATAATATTTAAAAAAAGTATCCATGAACTTTAGTTAAATCTAGTTAGTGTTCTCCTTAAAATAGAGAAATATTCTAAGATAAGTTTTAATTTTTTTATATATACAGGGGTATTTTAAAATATTGCCAACTGCAGGACTATCTTACTAACATCATAAATAACAACTTTTGTTTCGGGACTTTTTACAAAACATAATAAAGAAGGCTGGCGAGATCCCGTGTATTTTGTGACCGTGTTATTGACGGCGTGCATTAGGAGACCTATCAATACTTGTGATTCATTATCAAAGCATCATAAAAGCTAATTGAGTACAGCCTATAGAAGCTGGGATTATAAAGTTGATATAGGTTATATTTATAACATTGTCCTGTATTTCGCTTCAGATGTTTGATCGTAGTAGCAGAAAACAACAAGATTTCAGTTTGTTCCCAAAAATAATAAAGAACTTCCCGAATATTCCCAAATCTGCCAAACCGCCACATTTAATATAACTTATCATGTTCTGCAGCAATGAAAATGAATAAAAATTAAATCTGCCTAAATGGCAAAAATGGCAGTTTTCTGCCATGGTCACACTGTTCTCAATATCTATGCGAGAGTCGGCTGAAGGACTTTGTTTCCATGGCTAGCAATAAATTACAAAAAAATATCTATGTGACATTGACATTGGCAAAAGGTCTCTTGTCAAAACGTTCCTTTGAAACTTTCATTATCTCTCATTTAAATATTGTCTAAATACTTTTGTCACATTGTGTTTTATTTTTTGCTTTATGTCATTACTGTTTAATTGATTATTTTATTAGGTATTTTATAGCTTTAATATTTTATGTGTGTACTATAAAATAACCAATGCTTCAGGTAGGTAAACATTCAATCATGCTTAAAATGAAGCGTACGTACAAGAACGTTATCTAATCTATCGTCAAACTGAATCAATTGCGTTGTGTTCTTGCATCTATTCTAAAATACAATGATTTACAATTATTTTATTCCCGACTTCTAAAAATATACAAAAATATATTGATAACTAGGCATAAACTAAAACGCAAAATTATACTAGCAAAGTCCATGAACGGCTCTTCGTCGTTATTGGGGCAGCTTTCGCCATCCTTCTTTACTAAAAATACACTTTAATGTTTTTCTTGTACTATTTAACGCTGTTTATATCTGTCTTTGGCAGTAAGTTCAAATTTGCAAGCCATCGTCCCCGACGACCCCTGCTGTATTTATGGTAGCGCTATCTTTAGTTACCGCACTGAGTTTTTACCGTTTAGAAAGATCTATTTCATTAAAAAACATGTGCGTATTTGGCCTCCATCTCACCTGATGGAAAGTGACGATGAGGTCGACGATGAACCATGCATAAAACTGTAGCACTTACCATAAATTAGTGCCGGATTCTTTTCTCTCAATTTCTTAATGATCCCAGCAATTTGTTTTAGAGAATCAGGAGATCTAGAATAGCCAGTAAGAAAATGCGTGTAATAGTCTACTTCGTTCAATGTGAGGCCCTCAATTAATTCTGCCATCTCTTCATTTTGAAGGATGGTACCCTTTATATGCTTATATCCTGTATGTGTTGAAAATTGAACGGTATTTATAGAGTCCACTTCAAAACCTAACACCTGGAAAAGAATAATAAGAATTCATTAATAAAACAGCATGTATGTTGTACAGTCAAGAATACTACAAGCCTGACACTTTAGACTATTCTTATATGCAAGCAGTGTAGAGTTGAATTTAAACCTTTTTGACATGCTTGTGAACAAAAAAAATACAAATTTAAGGACTTGAAGAGGCAAGGAACAAAAAAAGTGGGTTTTTAATAATAACAACGATAGGTAATGAAATAAAAGTTTATTCAACACAAATAAACAATAATTTTATTGCACCAGGTATTTATTGGACCACCTACAATCATAAAATTATAAGCACCTTAAGACAAAAAGGTATGCATATCAATTTTATTGGTGACGAACAGAAATCAGTCATTGCTGATAGGTTTTCTGTCATAGCCTCAAATAATCTTAAAATCTTAAAAGTCACTTTACAAAGTGGGTTTGTTCATACAAACAGCAAAAGTTATTTATGTTTATTCAAACTGTAATGACCGTTTGTTTACTAGCTTCATTAATAAATTGACTTAATTAATAGGTCATGGTTATCTTGTAAATAAAGATTACAAAACATGGCTGCTAACAGATTTGCCCTCATTTTGTAAGAACTTGGTTTCATTTGTTATATTCATATTATATTGATAAGGTTTGACTGCTTGTTCCATAGAGAAACGAATAGTAATATTATTAACTCTCAATATCCTACAAAGTAAGTAGGTCTACAAATAATTATCTCAGATTTATTATACTTGTATGTTGTATAACTTATATGTATATAACAGTATAAATGAATAAATGTCTCATCGGCTAAACGGCTTGTTTTCTTTCCAGCTAAATATTTTTGCAGTCGGGTTTTACTTTATTTAATAATTTAGTTTCATTATTATGATTCCAACCTAACTGACGGGACGAAGTAGTCGTGACATAAGTAGCAGTTGCAGTGCCACTCAGAGCTTTAAATCACAAAGATCTGAGGGTCACTGCCACTGCGCCGGTCACCCTGAGACATAAGGTGAAAAATTCCATACGCCTGTAATTTCATCAGCACCCTTAGCCTTCAAAACCGGAACGCAATAATGCTTACATTATGGCCTTGTGGCAGATGTAGGTAAAGTGGCGGTACTTCCCTGGACGAATTCTTTCACAAGGAGTTAAATGCTACTAAAATCTTACTAGAAACGTTCGCGAATAGTGGCGACACGTAAGGACACTGTCAACAAAGTAATAAAGGTGGCTGGGAAGTTTTAGCCTCGAGAGCATCACGTTTCGCATATCAGGGGGTCTAGTCCCGTTCTCCGTCCGACATGCGTCCGAATTACTGTGACATAAGTAATACTCGACCAAATTAAAGATAAAGATAAATTTATTCTGTATAAAAATTTAACCTAAATACATGAATTTTATTAAATAACAAAGGTTATTTATATTTAATAAGATTCATGTATTCAGGTTAAATTGTCACTCAGAGAGTGAAATTTGTAAACACTTTGAACATCAAGAAATCTGAAACCATTACGTATGTACTATTGTTTGAGTTTAAATTTCATACTTTTACCTGTTCACAAGACTGAAATCCAGTTGTTATATCATCATTCTAATCATGCTCATCATTCTAATGATGAGCAGGTCCTTCAATATTTAATGTGTGCCTAAATCTTAGGCAAACTGAAAGTTTGACTCTTCATTCATCATCAGATCTTGAATACTCGAAGGGGGCCGAAATTTTAATGAAACTGAATGTCTAAGTTGAAATTAGATGTTTGTAACTATTTTAATACCTGACATAGTAGGTATGTTGATTTAACTCCTGGTCATCAGAAGACCTTTAGTATATCAAATTTGCCAACACCTTAATAAAATTGAATTTTGCGACATAATAATCGACATTCTTAGCAGAGCTCGTCATAGAGACATATTCTTCATGTACTATTTTTCATTAGATTCTCAACAACACCAAGCTATTAACAGTGTCACATATTACTCACAATTCATTCACGATTCAATCGGCTAATCAGGTGCAAAAGTACTTCAGCTACGAAACTACTAACTTATTAACACAAACACTCACATTGTGCCAACGGCATAACACTTTTTTGTACTAAAGGGAATAATGTAAGTTATGTGAAGATATATTTAAAATAAAAATTCATAACATGTCACCCTGGGATTTAAATTAATAATATAATATAAAATGTCGACTTCATAGACACTACACTACAATAGTCATTCACAGGAAAAAGTGAACATTGGTGTAAAAGCATCAGAATATTTGTCCAATAGTTACGGTAATAATGAAAAGTTTTTATAAATTGTTCCATACTTTTTTGTGAGGACTGAACATTGTACTTAATTCATTTGTTTTCATAATCATGTAAATGTTTAAAATTCACTAGTAACTTGTTGTACATTTTTTTTTGTAAGTAATTTGAGGATTTTATTAAAATCCTAAGAGTTTTAAAATGCCAAAAGTTTTTAAGAATGCAAAAAATTTTAAAGAAATTTTAAGATTCAGTTACTGACATTCCTCATGCCGTTGCTAACACTCTCAATTAGGAGACTCAAAAAAGTTGATGTGGTGCATAAGAGGGAACTTTTTTTTTCAAATAAATTTTACAGGGAAAAACTTTTTTCGACAAAAAGTAGTGCAATGATTTCATTTTAAAACTGGCTAGAATGATACATGTATACTGTTATAGTATAAGTTATACAATATCATCAAGAATTACGAATTAATTAATTATCCTATATTGATCAACTCTCCGGCTCAGATTGGTCGAGAGATTACAGTTTTCCAGGAAAACTAATTTCAAAATATCAGGGCAAAATGTTTTGAATTTCTGTTCAGCATGTGCTAATCCACTAAGGTGAATGGTATAGATTTATATATTTTAGTCATTTTAGTTTTTTTATATTTTAGTAGCAGTAGAGCACCTTGTGAAAAAGTTATTCCAGGGAAGTACTCTGCCGTCCCCTAACTAAAACCCAGCTAAGTGAGATATCATAAAAAAACCAAAAGCCAGGATTTTGGAAATTGTTTAGTGAAATTTCAGTTATGCATCATTAGGGTAAGTTCTGATAAGTCCATGTTAACTAATTTTAACTGATTTTTTTTGCTAATTATAACTGTTATTTAACTACTTGTTTCTTAGCCGCATTTTAGTTAGTGGACGGCAGTGCTGCCACCTTAACAATTTCTACCGTCAAGCAGTAATGTAAGCATTACTGTGATGTTGTGTACCAGTTTTGAAGAGTAAGGGTGCTGATGAAATTACAGGCACATGAGACTTATCAACTCATGTCTCAGGGTGATGAGCACAGTGGCAGTGCAACTCAGATCTTTTGTCGATTTTAAAGCTCTGAGTGGCGTTGCAATTGTAATGGATAGGCGTGTACAGCTTACCATCAGGCACACAATTTATTCGTCCTGTCACTTGATATTATAATTAAAAATATATATCTAAATAGAATATACTAAGAATATCCTTGTTTATAGCTTTATGCTATTTTTACATGTATACCAGAACATGTTAAATAAAATAAAACGGAAAATAGGTAACAAAAATTAAATATGCAGAAAAATTAATAATACCTAAATGAAACCATTGCAACTATTTTTTGTTAATATTTTAATACCTATAAAATAAAGTAATACTATAAAATAAAAAGGATGTACAAGCTAAAAATTTGTTGGTTCAGCAGGAATTTATATAATTTATTAATTATGTTATAAAATATTACAGATACTTACTTGAAGCGGAAAAATCGCACTTTTGTTTCCCACGTAACCATGAACTACGTGACTTTGGATGGACAGCACTCTGGGAGTGTTAACTGAGGCCATGTTAATAAAAATTTCTTATAACTTTGTAGTTTAACTTCAGTGTGCAAAGGAATAATTATTTCGGTGTAAGTAATGTTACGTACAAAACGTGATTTATAGCTTGTAGAGTATGTTGCACTAAACGTTTCGTACTGTGAACACTGAGTGTATTATAATTAATAGATAATAAATTGAATATGAAGACGTTTAAACTGATAACAGATAGGTAAGGTCATTCACGAACGAACGGGCGAGTAGGGATGGGCGTTACAAATCGTATAGTTATTGAATCTATATGTTGTGACAATATCGAATATCCGATATCGTGTATTTTAGAAACTATATGTCGATATTGCTCCGCATCGCGTATTCTAAATCGTATTCTTTCCAAACTATATACCGATATTGCTTCGTATCAAATATTCACTGAGTGGATATCATTTATTATTTATTTATTTATTTATAAAGCATTGGCTTCACAGCCATCACCTTAATGTAACAAATACTCAAGAAAAGCACAACGTAATATACCTAAACTTAAAATTAATTCGTGTAAAAAATGTAACTATTAAAACCCGCCATTTACGTGGATATCAACGCGAAACCGTTATTTTATGCATCTTCGAAACTGTGTACTGTATGAAGGGAAGTTAATTTTTTGTTGAAAATTATTGTATTCTGGCGTAACGCGTTCCCATTCAATGGTGGACGATACGATTTAAGCAAACGGTGACATATCAGGGCGCACGCGAGCTATATCCAATAGTATTCATCTTGTGTCGAAATCTGATTTCGAATATCAGTAGTGGCAATGTATCAACGCAGCGCGCACGCCGCCGCCGGCTGCATCAATGAATAGTTTTAGAAAATATATAGTTTAAGTATCCGATTTCGAATATCGATATATAGTTTCGATTAGATATTTAGAAAAAGCTATATTACCCATACCTACGAGCGAGCACCTTTTCCCCCTCCCTTCTCGTCTTGTCCTGATAAGAGATGGTTAATATAATATATAGCTCAAACTATAACGTTAAATTAAAAAATAATTATAGCAATTGTATTTTGAAAGATATAAAGGTGCCAAAATGTTAAAAAGGAAATTTTTTTCACTTTGGATTAGAGTACGTTAAGAAAATTAAACCAAATGCCATCTAGCGACATAATTTTACAATATTTCAATGCCATATCATCATCTATCCATGCTTTACTTACGCAGCTAACAAACAAAATCCTTCTTGTTTTAGCCCCAGGAAACCCTGTGACGCGGGTGCTATGGACACACACAGACAACCACAAATTACACCCAAACTCACGAGAGAAATAAATGTAGGCCATATAAATATTTCTCCCGGCCCGGGAATCGAACCTGGGACCTATGCGTGGCAGTTCGGCATGGTAACCGTTCGGCCACGAAGGCAGTCAAAAAAAGAAATAAATAAAAAAAAAAATTTTAATCGAGGTTTATTATTTAAATTTAGTAAAACAAAATATATTTTTAAAACACTTTTGCGTACCTACACAATTATAAGCATTTATTTTCTACATCATGTGTTTTAATTAATACATTTTGTGTGTGAAATGTGAAAGAGAATCCTTAGGCTATTTCAAGTCCAAGCATGACTTTGTTTAGTACGCAGTAGACCTCAAGACCATAAAGTAGAGTCGCACTTTATTGACGCAGGATAGGTCAGCTCAAGGGTTACTAAAAAACGAATTATAATGAATTTTATTATAAAAAACATAAAAAAATTATTATCCATATTTTAGGATAAATACTTAGTAATAACGGATATTTATCCTAAGACGGACATTTATCGGGTAAAACCCATCTCTACTGGGAACTTGTTAGAGAAGGACAGACCACTACGCCGAGCTATCTCACGTGCCCCGGTTTTTACTTTTACTTAAAAATAACCTTAACACAACCAAATAAGGTGTAAATTTGTAATATTGGTAAATCGAAGTGCGCGATCCAGTTTATGAAATATATAAATCCGTGATCCGTCACCTTCTATCTGTCTTTGACATTATTTAGCAGCAAAAATTTTTCGTCTTTCGTGACAGGCTAAGGCGTCTACGCCATACTGCCAGATCTAAGATTGTAATTTTTCTTGAATGATTTAATTTTAGACAAAGTCAAATCTTCAATATAAGGTCTCATTCATTATCCTGCACCACTGCAGCCTGCCCGGCCGTTCGCCGCTCGATGTGTGACTGTGAACGTTGTTGGAGAGTGCAGTTGCAAGCTTAGAATAATAATAATAATAATAATAATAATAAACTCATTTATTTGTCGGAATAGGTACATGGTACATTGATACATTTTATAAAGAATACAGTGGTACAAAATAATCCGACAAAACGGTCTATGACTCAGCGGTCGCGGGGGTCCCACGGCCTCTGTTATTCTGCCATAACCTTATTTAAATATTATAAACAGTTATTTCAGGACATCGAGACTTACGCAAGCGTACTTGCACTCATTTGGCCGTAAGGCCGAGTAGGCTGCAGTGCAGGATAATGAATGGATGGGCCCCACCACAGAACACTAAACTGGCCCCCACAGAGAGAGATTTACATATATGTACATATATATATATATATACATACATACATACACACACACATATATATATATATATATATATATATATACATATATATGTATAAATATATATAAAACACTGCATTTCGCGGCAGATGACAAGACGGACTGCAATGCGGGAAAGTGAATGCTCCTTACAGGGACAGCGGGCAGGTTTCACAACGTTTTTTATTTATTTATTGAACATGGCTATAGAGCCATTCTTTACCTTAAAACAATAACAGATAATGAAGAAGGTGAAAACTTAATATAATAATAACTAAAAAATTATTCTTAAAAACTAGTAATAAAAAACTGGACAATAAGTTAACTCATTTTTATATTAAATTAAAATAATTATTAGTTTTTTTTTATGGTGGCACTAATGATGCACTACTAACTAAATTTTGCATCTTGCTTGTGAATAAACAAGGAATAAACATAAAATAAAGGAACAAGGAAAAAAAAATAGCCTATTTTTATGACTATGATAAATGTAATATAATAATATAACATAATAGAGTTCCGAATATATTCAGAAAATTATTTCATAGAAAACAAGTGTTTCTCTAAATCAGGGTTTCTTAACCTGTGGTCCATGGGCCCCTAAGGGGTGGGTGTAATGAACGCTGGGGGTTCATGGCGAGCCTACCTAACATGGCAAGTGCATTATGTAATAAATCAGTACAGAGTTCTAAAAAAACCGACCTCAAAAGTCATTCATCCCCCAATTTGCAACCCTTAGAGGTCGAATATTTCCTTCAAATTTATATGGGACCACTTGTGAGGTACCTACCCTCTTTTCAACAAAAAAGAATAATCAAAATCGGTTCACAAATTATTGATTGAGATTGAGAGTTATCGCGAAACATACATAAAAAAACATACAGTCGAATTGTGAACCTATTCCTTTTTTTTAAGCCGGTTAAAAATTGGTATACAATATGTTGTGGTTAAATAGGTACTGTGCGCGTGACCTTTTTGAATTTTCGCATCAATGCGTGCCAACCAGTGCGTCAATGCAATCCGCGAGCCTTTTTTCTTCATCTTTTCGGAAAGGGTCCGTGGGCTCTTTGAAATTTTGAGAGGGGTCCTTGACTAGAAAAAGGTTAAGAAACCCTGCTCTAAATATATATATAAATGTATAACCATTTATATAGAGCAAGCTGCTACTAGCACTAGTAACTGCCCTCTGTTGAGCCATTTCATAGGACCTTTTTGAAGTATCGGTGATTGTTTTCATATAATTTTCTATACTCAGAACCCAGTTTTCTACATCACCAACTTCTTTTAGAGAACTGCTGAAGTTTTTCATAAGTGCAAGCTATTGTTGAGTTAGTTTGGAAAAAATATTGCTGCAGTAGTTTAATTTTTTTAAATTTCATTTTCAATTTGGCTTCAGAATTTAATTTCTTATGGTTTAAGTATGCTTTGGCGACGCTGTAAAAAAAAAAATTGTTTTAATATTATAAGTTAGACTTTTTTTTAATGAAGAGGTGATACTACGTTAGGTTAGGATTAGTATAGCTTATTTGATTTATTGACTTACCCCACGCTCAAGTGAACAATTAAAGCTCGAGAGATATCCACGGTTATAATACATTCGTAACGTTTTTATTTTCTAAATATATAATTATTTCAACGCTCATGCTCCGGACAACGAAACGTATGACAGTTACGTGAAGCCAATATTGCAAACGTAAACGTGGTTAGAGACAAAGTTATGAAAATATTAAATATAGATGTGGACCCAATGCCTCCCTTGTGCGACTCTTTTAGTAGCTTGTTGTTCTTTTATATACTTACTGATGGCAACATTTTGTTTCAACACAAAAAGACTTGAATTTCTTCATTTCATTCAAATAGTATAAAATTCATATAAAATTAAATAAATTCATCGATCGTCACTTCCACAATCAGAAGCAATATGATTTTCCATGAGAGTGAAAGAGATGCAAGGTTAATTATAGTTATGGACGAGATGGAACTGAAATTGATTGTTTCCTTGACAATTTTGACAATTGCCTGCGGTCTTTGGAGTTTCTACCCATCTCTTTGCAGTACATTCATATCATCCTGATGAACATACTCTTTGTATAATGTACACACGCCAGCACATTAAGCTACACGTTGACGTATCTTGTTCCGTTGCACTGGAGCCGATTTTCGAACTAAAATGTGTAGTCTGTTGTGACGGTGTCCGTACATTCATTTTTTGTCAAGTTGTTATTAAATAACTTTCATCAGGTAAAAGACAGTTGCCACTGCACTGATAGGTACCGGGAGTTACTGTATGTATAAAAGAGAAAATTAGGCAATAAAAAAAATGAACAAATGCAATTAAGATAGTAAAAAATATTTATTATATCATAAAAATTCGACCTACATAACAATACTTAGCTTTCTAATTTGGTAACCGTGAAAATATTAAAACTAGTATACAAAATGATGCATTCTTTGAATAGAATTAACGACCGATCAAAAGCATTGTCCACAATGTAACTTTATCAACTCATAAGTCTTCACGTTATTCAAATATACTCTCAAAATTTTTTAGTATAGGTACACAAGTGGTTTTACACGTTTAGAATTAAGTATGGCAATACGTCTGTCTCAAGTTTCGTACAGGGTTAAGAGCACGTTAGGCTTGACACTTAATTAGATTCAACTCTATGCAGTTTACAATAAGAACGGCTCAAAATGTCAAGCTGATGTGCTCTTGACTATGCAGACGTTGTGACCTAGTTCAATTCGAAAGATAACCCACTAATATACATATATGGATACACTGAGTGCTTGAAGTACTAGCAAGCAATAAGTTAATTTTGGTAAAAGGCAAATAAGTTTTAGGTTCTGAATTACCATTTTTAGTTTTTTTTTAATATCACTAATCGAATGTTAAGAAACTAACCAATCAAATGCTTTTTGCGTGTGCTCTTTTTTAAAACGTTTTGTTTTTTATGAAATTACGCAACACGACAAGGTTACAATTGTAGCTTGTTGTTTTATACAGCTTTTTGTTGTGGATGGGTAACTGAATATGCTGAATGTGAAGAAGACTAAACATAAAAATTCTACTATAATTGGTAAGGTTTAACTATAGGTGGTTCTTGAAAAAAAAGAACATGACGCTTACGCACACGACGATTATGCTTATAAAATCACCAAGAACATTTAATTCAAAGCCAATTCAGATCGCCAAAAATTAAGCTATTTAATAAAAAAATTACTCAAACGATATTGTTGGAAAAGCTGATATTTTATTTTACTACATTTGTAATTTTGAACATTAGACAGTCCTGACCACAAGTGACACAGTCGTATTTAAATCTTGGGTGTAAAGCCTAAGTGACACCTGCATGAACGTATTTAAATATATTGCCGCAATGTTTGTTAAATTACGAAAAGTACATTATTTACATTCCTTAATTATACGTATGAAATTGATTAAATTAAATAATACATAGTTAATTGAATTTAAGGCGGCCATTCGTTATTCATTACTATTCAAATTTTTGTAATAGTGTGTGCTGATATCGCACCTTCACGTAGTGCCACATCCTCGAAATTATCTCATCACCTGCACAATTTCGGCACTTCCATTTTTTTTTCAATCAGAACTATTGTGTCATATAAATAGACAGCAAGAAAAGAACGATCTCTGATCGGAAGAAGTGATAGCGCCGAAATATACATGTATATATAAAATTAATATATACAGAGTTATTTTTAAAAACCTAACAACCTCTCAGGCTAATATAGTCTTGCGATGACTAACATCATAAACAACAACTTATGTTCTTTGATTTTTTTAAAAACGTAATAAATTTATCAAAAATTAAACTTTTAAGTTTTTGTAGTAATATATAAAACTTTTTAAATCTGTATTTCGTAGAATAAGTTCAAACGTGCACGCGTCTTCCGCGATGACTCCCACCCCCGTCCTGCACAAAGTTATTACCGTTTATAGCGATCTATTTAAATCTATTTATTTTTATATGAAAGTAAAATCTGATGAATTATTAAGTCAAAGCAAAATGGAGTTGTTGTTTATGATGTTAGTAATCTAGTCTTGCGAGGTAATTAGTATTTGAAAAATAGCCCTGTATGCCTACATTAAATCGTCGCCTTACTTTCTCAAATTCGCATCTTAAAACACAAAAAATTACTGAAAAGCAAAAAATGGTTTATATATACAAGTTTTGCACGCTGATCATATCACATCATATTTTCTTCATATTTATACACTGGTTTTTATCTATAAGAAAATTAAAATAAATACAAAGTTTTACTATCTCCTGAATAATCACTCTTTATAAGATACGAGTTTGAGAAAGCAAGGCGTCGAAATACGTTGCTCTGATCGCAAAGCAAGTACCTTGTTGTAAGCAAGCACTTGTGTTATGGAAATCGGACACGACGGTATCACAAACATTCAGACCCAGAACAATATAGAAAGGTCAGTTTTTCTGAACCTGGAATCTTAGAGATGGCGACACCATGAAAACCGGTACGTAAGCCACTCTACCACGCATGTCGTCAAAATCAAGTGGTGATGGGCATTTATTTTGAATACCATAATATTATGGTAATAATAATAATAATAACTGATACAATAGTATAACAACTCTAATCGATATACCTCAAACTGGGTATAAATACTCTTCCTTGCATTGCCGAAATAACGGTGCGTGTGACTCACTGTGTTTTGTTTTATTTCATAAAACGAGTCGAGTGAAATTTTTATTCCATAATTTAATGGTGAGACGTGTGTTGCCAATAACGCTTTCAACTGTTTGTGACAACTGATTTAAGATTGCGACTGCTATTTCTATGTCTCATCCCATAGAAAAACATAAAACTAATTATAACAAATTCTTAAAACTAACGCAGAGCTCCCTGTGCGGTTAACACTGCTACATGTTGATTAGTAGATACCCATAGGTGCCTACTTTTCCTACGTTCTTAACTTGATAGAACCTTTGAAAAATATTTCAAAGCTTTTGCGATTCCAGTCGAACTTGTTTAATTAATCATCTAGTAATGCGAATGCAAATTTATTTGTGTAGAGGTAGATTTATCGTACTATATAGTAGATTGTGATAAAAATGTACATAATTTTCTTAAGTCAACAGGGTACATGGAGGCTCTGTTTATTTTAAAATGCTGAAGTAAAGACATTAGTACAAAATACCCCCAACACTGAAGATGCAACAAGAGTTTTAAAAATATCTATATTTACAATTTTATAATAAAATTATTATTATTAAAGAAACAAATTTCATAGATAAAATTTTGTAGTTAAGATAAATAAATAATCTCATTCGAAATAGTCTCATATAATATATAGTGAACTCAAGCTCTGAGGGCAGATCCATTATCATACTGTAAATGAGGTTAACCATCAAAATGATCAACTGTCGGAATAGGGTGTTTTAAAGGAGTACACAAATGTCTATACGTATATATACTATAGATACAAGGAGTAGTTAAAGTTACCAAATATTGTTTAATTACCTTTTTCTAATTCCATCATCAATTAGGGCGGAGGTGGTTTGCATTCCATGAATCTAAAAGTGTCTACAATATCCGCCTTAGTAAAACAAGCGATTATTTGAAGCTTATAAAAAATGTTTGCTTTAGTGAAAGGTTACTTATCTGCTGCATTTTTTTACATGGCGCCACTAGTATTTGCATGGTGCCACTAATATTTTGGTGGTTTTAACCACTCCATGTCACTCCTTGTATCTATATACATATATACACGTTTGCTCGAATTTTCATGACCTCGAAAGTAATTTTGAGAGGTAAATGTAAACCTAACTTAACTTTAACTTAACCTAACCGAACCGAATCGTGTCTTTGCGATAAACATCCAACATATCCTGAAAGAACAACAGTTTCGTTATAATTCGGTGTAATGAAAATTCGAACAAACGTTATTTCGGAAAAAAGTCGAGTTTGTGATAGGTTACCATATATAGATATTTATCTACTCATTTGCAGCACCCTATTCTGACCATTGTTGATGACTTTTTTATGGATATATATATATATATATGCTTTTTGAAAGAAAACCTTGAAATGGAAGTAATCATACACTTTTAAAATTTCACATAAATCAATAGCATCGAGTATTCTGGTTATATATTCGATGATCAAGGGTAATTAAAATTAGGATAATATTATTAGGATTACTATTGCGCAGTAACATTATTGTATAAAAGAAAACGGTACCCCTTGCACACAAAAGCGCACTTAGCCAACGCAAGTTTATTCGCGAAAGAAGCGGAGTGGAGAGATGTATTTTAGAAATAAACTATTCCATAGTTGCTCACATTTTATGAAAATAATGGAACTGCACTGGTTGTTTACGTGCACGTCTTTTCCGCTAAGTCCATTAAGTACTACCACGGTATCCGCAGTTTTAGGGTTGAGATTGCTCCTACTAACCACGCAGACACATTTAAATACTCAATATGAGCATAAACAATGTATTATGGACATAAATTCTCTCATTACTTGAAAGAAATCACTTAGAAAATGTATCACGAAGTCAATATGTTATAATATATTATACTTAAACCTTAATAGCCATTGTTATCTGTTACCTTTAGAAGTCAATTTGATAAAACTTATTTACATTGCATATTGAATTTATTAAGTGTTATGCATTTTCCCAATAAAATAATTTATTGACTTGATTGTAATTTGCTATTATTTTACGAGATAGGTGTTATATAGATGACGTCAATTGGTGTACATGGAGTAAAAAAATGAATAAAATAATAATCTAAAAATATTATTCCATGACAAACAATAGCGCCACTACAGGTAGAAAAGTCACAAAGGAGTATATTACTTGATCTTTTTTTAAAGGCTTAAACAACACAAGTTGCAAGTGAACATTCGGATGAGAATGGTACACATTCTCTCCTGTATCCATTGTATCATTCTAGAAAAAGGCATCATGCAAATAAAATACAAACTACAAGAAACACATGAAATCTGTTCCGCTACTACATCCTGTAATTCATGGAACAAGCGAACCAACAGCTTGGTGCGTCAGTGCACGTTCAAAGGCACATATCCTCACAGCAACTTGTTTTGCCATGTAATGAATAGGCACATAAATACTTATTTATTACAATCCAAGTCAAGTAGAATGTGCCCTTAAATGTGGATGAGAATTAAGAATAAGCCATAATATATTTATGGCTTATCTATACTCTATTGAGTACAGCGCTTATGAATAAAGAACTTGGAGTGACATTTGTATCAGGCTCCATTGCAGATGCAAATGTCATTCTATACCAAACACACATTCTCTTTGGGTGCTGTACGGTTGTTTGCTTATTTGTTACACATAACTGTAGTAAATGTGAGTACAATAATAACAATATACCAAGATTCTGCACATCGCTAGTCTGGTGTTCTTGAGTTAGGCGGTTCATGTCCAAAACAATGTTTGTAAGCAGGGTCCTTGTAAGAGTTCTCGTGTAGAACACTGTGGGAGCTGGTACGGCATTTTGTTAGACATAATTCATAGTCGTCACTGAGAGATCGGAATAGTACGTTTTCTTCTGCTGATAGTTTTGACAGTATGAGTTCTAACATATCTCTCTGAAATTAAATAATGTTATAAAGTTAACAAGCAAGTTTTGTTTTTAATTTGTTCAGAACAAAAGTGTAAATTTTGGACATAATTCAAACTATGATAAACCACTTTCACAGAGACTAACTTGTACAGGCCGCAGCTATCTAGCTGTACATCTGTATACAAACTTTCCTATTGAAAATTATAAGTAAGTCACTTATTTGTTAAATTTTGTATAATTGTAAAATGAGCAGTGAGTACCGAGGACGTTGACGAGGCCCTACGAAATATGGTTGAAATGCTGAGGAAAGAAGGAATTCTGCTGATTGCAGCGCGCCGACTCGAAGTCTAAACTCTTGGACGGGACTCTACAGTGTAGAGTCCCACAGCTCATGACAAAAAGACGAGAAGTTATTCAGGCCACTTCTTTCACGAGTTTCTTTGAAGGACAAGGTACGGAACGAGGTTATCCAACAGATAACTAAGGTCGTCGACATAGCTGGTACAATAACCAAGCTGAAGTGACAGTGGGCTGGCCATATCTGTCGAAGAACCAATAACCGATGGGGGAAGCAAGTTCCTGAGTAGAGACCATGTCTCGGAAAACGTAGTGTAGGACGCCCTATTGCGCATTGAAAGAGGCCTATGTCCAGCAGTGGACTACGATAGGCTGTTGATGATGATGTTGAGCAGGAGTGTAACCGAAACGAATAAAGGAATACAGATGCATTGGCATCATTTACCTGTTATATTTCAACTTCACTGTAACTATAAATAAGCAATATGGTGTTGTATGATACAACAAATTATACAAGTATGTCTTATGTTACAATATGATTGAACATTGTATCATGCATACATGGGAAATGTCTGTTAATACTAATTCGGGAAAGTACATCTCATTATAACATATAGTCCTCACTCTAGCAACTTGGGGAAAAAGGTTGTTCTAGATATAGATACTAACCTTGCTGGGATCCAAGCAACATGATACACAATACTCATAAATAACACAACAGTTGTTGTTCATGCAAGTTTCACAACTGTATTTCTTTGTGAAGTCCGCATCAGGGTCACAACATCCATTTTTCATTAGGTTTGGGCGCTGACAAACATATCCTGGACAAAAAAAATTAAATAAAAACAATTCAGCTTACTTGTTTCAAATTGTTTTCCTTAATAATAAAGTAACTCACTTAAGCCAATAAGCATGTCCACATAACTCTTAGATATCACAATTTCAAATGTTTAAATTGGCGAAAACTTCTCAAAGTCCATATATTACAATGATAGTAATGTCTAAACTGTCTTAATGGGCAAAAAGCTATAACAGTTGATATTGTGGACCATTTGAAAATTATGTACGCAGAGAAATTATCGTAAGCTTTTATATAAGCAATTTGCCTTTTTTTCTATAACTAAGCACTGATCAGTACAACCCCATTGTCTGAATTTTGATATTTATTCATTTCTAATACATTTACCAAACAATTTATCTCTTTCGTTTCAAAATATTCTACAATCAGTCATTTTGCTGCAGATGAGGGGTTAGTATACACTGTATAACAAAAAATCAAATAATACTTTGAGATGTAATAGTGGGCATAATGTTTAGTCCTTTATGACAAAGGAATGTAACTTACAATTTTGACAAAAAATTATATGCATAGTTTGGAAATTAATTCAGAAATTTATATAGTTGGATATAAATATTTTGTTTCTATCATTGTAAATTGAGTTTATTAGTGTTATAGAAGACGATACAACACTTATCATATTATGTAGTGCGAGAAAAATGATACTTCAGTTAAGGCAATATTATAATTTACCTCTATCATCAACAATTAATATCTTTCCCTGTACAGAGTTTCTACAAATGATGCTTTCTGTATCATTGTGCTCTTGCAAGGTTCTCCATACAAACGGCTTTCTCTCTATAGATATGTCTTGGTACATCATTGGATGGTGACTGCCCTGGAATTTAAATTTATATCTATTACATTATGGAGTTCAAGCTAAGCTGACTGATTCAACATAAGATGGTGGTGGCTCAATTAAAACACAATTTTAAATTAAACCAAAAGAGATATACTTTTATCAACAAACCAAATATAATGAGTGGTTAAATAAAGATAAAACCATCACATACTAGTTATTAAAAAAATATTTGGTTAATCAACGCAACCATGTAACATTTTATTCACAATTTGTTATGTATCTTGATATCTATTTAACTGCTACTAACTACTGTTTCAATTTGCGTAAAATTATGACTAACCTCTCTTAAAAAACTGACAATACAGTAAGTCAGGGAAGACGCAAATATTATACCCAAAACCAGGCGTCGTCTGATGAAACGCACCACAGCCGCATACCACATCGTATCGCCAACAATATTACACGGTTTAAACCAACTGTGCTCCAGTAAAACGTATAATAATAACATTTTTTATGCGTTATAATCGCATGGAATTTTTCATATTTCCAATCATTTTTAAACATATTTCTATATCACACTCATAATTAAGCGATATGGAGTCCACGTTGTACGTGAGTATTATCAAGGTTTTTTTAATTTATTCATAAATTAATCAGTTACGAAAGAAAATACATGCTTCAGTTTCATTACTTTCTTTTTTTTTTATTAATAATTTTGGCTTGGATACAAGTCCTTTGAGCCATGTCTTCGTTTAATTATGTTTCTGTAAATATGGCCGTCACAAAGAGGATAGGCAATTTGAGGTGGCGTGTTTGGATTGACTTGGGATTCCTTAAGAACGGGCCGATTTCATTACTTTCATTGCCCCGATTTATTTTTTTCCATCCTCTAAGCCCCGATTGACTTTAATAGTTTAATATCTTACAACCATAAACTGTAATAAAACAACGATTCTACTAAGTGTGGCTAACGGAACGCATAAATTGCGTAATTGCATAGAGTTTATAGATAACATGCTGACGATATTTTTTCTTTTTTTGTGCTAGGATGGCTAGGATAGGAAAAAAAGGTGCTAAACAACAATAGTCGCTGTGGTCGCTATATAACGTTTGTTAAAAATTTTGTACAAGTACAGGGTCAAGAGCACGTCAAGCTTGACACTTAAGACTTAAATCCAACTCTGTGCCGCTTATGATAAGAACGGTCCAAAGTACAAAGTGTCAAGCTTGACGTGTTTTTTCGATATCTGTTAATGAAAAATTTGCTAAAGTTCATTGTCTTAGTGCAACTGCATATTTGCAATATAATTTTTGTGAGAAATCATGTTATTACGTAGTTTTTCACATAATCTCTACGTAATGTAAAGAAGCAGACATACCGTGCTAATCAAAAATGTTACCCAAGATTTCTCAGAAAATCGCGTGTCAATTTGCGTTGACTCATTATAGATGATCATGATTTTGTTGAATAGAATGAATATTCCGAAAAGTGGCTGAAACTGGTGAAAAGTAGATCACAATGGAAAATTTATTTTGTTATTTATTAAACAAAGGGGAAAAATATTTATAAGTCAATTATAATCATATACCTTGTAATAATGCTAATTCTAAGTTAGTAAATAGATTTATTTGTTGTGTCCCTATCCTTCCATCATCACTATCATTTCAGTCAATAAAACGTCCTCTGCTGGTTAAAACCTTTCATAAAGACCGCCACAAATTTAAATTAAATTTAATAAATTGTTCTCTCGCTATTTAAACATTAACATTATTTTGCTCTTTTGATCAATACAAATCAAAAATTATTTTTTTTTTAATTCTGTGTTTTTTTATATACAGACAAGCAAATGATTGTATAATGTAAGATAGCATAAAGACGTGGGTTACAAATCTGTATAAATAAGTTTCCCGACTACAATACAGTTAGTCATCTACGAAATTGATGATTTTGTTGCCTACAATGCAAGTATCTGCAAATCATTGGTCGGAAAAATGTGTTTTACATAATATATAGATACATTGTGTAGACGTAGCTATAAGGAGCGACATAGAGCTGTTAAAACCACTAAATATTAATTAATTACTTTTTCGAATTCTGGATTTGCGGAAATGGTTTTATTGTATCGTAGGATAAACCACTGACCTAGGAAGTCGAAGTTGGATTTGAAAGTAATTCTAATAGTGCCTTGTAAAAAAATGCAGAACTGATGGAACTGAGCCTTGTTGCCGTTCCGTCAATGTGAGCGTCAATATGCGGGACTCGATGCGGTATTCAAAGCTTGGGAGAGGTGGAGAGTGATCATTCTCGCTTCTCTTTTATTCTCTGCTTTGGTAAAAGATAAATTATCTACTGCATTTTTTACATGGCACCATTAGAATTACTTTAAAATCTAACATCGACTTCCTAGGTCAGTGGTTTTGTCTTACAATGCAGTAAAACCATTTCCGGAAATCCGGAATTCGATAAAGTAATTAATTAATATTTGGTGGTTTTAACAACTACATGTCGTTCCTTGTAGTATGTCTATACATGTATTCTATGTATCTACCATCCACTAACTATTTAAAACGCGGCTAAGTGACAAATGGGCAAATATCATTCATTAGGTCTATGATTATAAGCAAAATATAGAGCACAAAATTCTCTATATCTATAAATATCATTAAACAATTTAAATATTCTAAAACTGGGTTATGATTTTTTATGATATCTTACAAAGTTATTTCGTCACTTAACCGCGTTTTAGTTAGCGGACGGCAGATATGTGGAACTCCTTTTTCCGATCATTGCTTATAATCTGTGACTGGAGTTCATGCGTCACTATCGCACTCGCCACAGGAATAATTTGCTATCCCTATTTTCAATTAGCTACTGTTCTTTTATTAAAATAAACAGAAAAATAAATATAATATAGTAACAATGTAAATATTTTTGATAACTTACGCCTGGTGTGTGATTCCTTGTATTTTATTTACTTTAACATGGTAATTAGTTCATTTTCTAAATAAACACGATGGTATTTTTCTTACAATGACGGAATTTTTAGCCAACTTTAAAAAAGGAGGAGGTTCGATTCGACTGTATGTTTTTTTTGTATGTTACGCGATAACTTTGTGAACAGGCTTTGATGATTATTTTTTGTCGAAAAGAGGGTATCTCAGTAGTGGTTTAAATTTGAAGAAAATATTCCACCTGTAAGGGTGGGAAAACCTAAGGGAAAAGTCATTCAACTTTTGAGGTCGGTTTTTTTAGTACTCTTACTTTTTTTTAGGTATGGTATGCGACAACTAGAGATGGGTCATGCATAAATCGACATCCTCTAGGAAAAACATCGTAACTCATATTTTACAATTTGTCAGGAGAGCGTTTCGATCTTGGGAAAAAATAAAAAAATAAAAATATTTGTTTAATGATGTTTTTTTTACTCCTAATGAAAGGAAACTGTATAATCTATACTCTTTTGTGTCTTAGGTTGATAGCGTCGAGGTCGATAGCGTTTAAACCTTCTTTTGTGAGTTTTTATAAGTTATAATGTAATTAATTAGAAGATGTTCCAGTGAACAACATTGTGAGTCTTAGGGTCGTATTCTAGGACTCTACTCAATGTTCAAGTCAGGATTGCACTGGCAACACAAGCACTGGAAATACGACCCTAACGGCAGGGACTTGAGTATGATTTCGAGTGCTTTAAACCATACTCAAATCCTGACTTGAGCATTGAGTAGAGTTCTAGAATACGACCCTGAGATACAATTATTTTTTTTCAATTACAAAGATTTTGAGCATTACGTTACAATACTACATCACTGACTGACGAGCATTCGCTTGTAATGTAACATACAAGATTCAATTTTGACCATTACGTTACAATACAACCTTACTGACTGAGGAGCATTCGCCTGTAGTAATAGTTCAAAATTCGATTTTGAGCATTACGTTAGGGCGCTCCCTCACCGAGAACATTCGCCTGTAATGTAACATTCAAGATTCGTTTGCGGGCATTACATTACAAACTACCTCCCTCACCGGCGAGCATTCGCCTGTAATATAACATCCAAGATTTGATTAGGCTCCGATTCCACCAGAGATGTGTGAGGTAGCAAGGCGTGCGTGCGAGTGCCTCTGAGAGCCCGCGAGTGCCCGCATGAGCCAGGAATGCCCGCGAGTGCTTTCGAGTGCCCGCGAGCGCCTTTAAGTGCCCGCGAGAGCCAGGAGTGCCCGCAAGTGCCAGCGAGTGCTTTTGAGTGCGTTTCAAGGGAATTTCAACTAGATTGGGGATTTTGTGGGGATTGGCGCTATGTGAGGAAAATGTGGGGATTCTAACATTTTATGATTTTGTTTAATCTATCGATTGCTTGCATCTGTCGATACATCGCTAGCTTGATCGTTATTGTTAGAAAGACTGTGATGAACTATATCGATGTGTTTTTCAACAACGCACATCACTCGCATTATTAACAAGCAGCTTAAATAGAATTATTATCAAATCGTCTTGGTTCTGAATTGTAAAATGGGAAATATTTAAGTGTATATCAGAAAACTCAATACATATAAAATTATGTTCGTTATTCAAATAACTTGCACATCTAATAAAATATTTCACTACAAATAGAACAACTGTCTAACAAAACTAGTATTAAAAATAATTTAAAAACATGTATTAAAACTAGACCTCTGCTAATTTCTCAGTATACGACGAAAGTGTTCATTTATTTACAAAAATATGGTTTACAAAACAAATCGGTCCCGGAAAGACAACACACGTGGTCGAAGAGCACGGGTGCGAGGGGCCAAGGCAGACGACGAAGAGGTAGGTTGCTCCATGACGACGATGATGCACTGAATGAAAATATTAAAGACAAGTGAACTTATATACCCATAAAGTGGGGTGAATTAACTTCAATCAAGAGAAAGCGTGAGACTCAATTAACAATTAGGTACTTTCACAAGACAATTACTTTAAACGAAACAATTAAGCGGCGAGACACACAATTAACTTTAACAGGATACGCAATAATTTTAACAGCATTCGACCGGCGACATTGATAACAATTTCCAAACCTCCACCGATTCTATCTGAATACATTTTTACAAGTTTCAATTGTGCAATTGACGGCGTATACGAAAGTAGCAATGATTTTTTTTGAATCAATTCTAGGAGGCCTTGCGGATGATAATTAAAAGAAACGCTATCATCTGGTATTTAATGACATATTTAAGCCACTTTTAATGCAGAAGGAAAATATCCATTGAAAATTTTTGTTAGGAAATAACACATTCGCGGCGGTCACCATTAAG